GCTGACTTTGCGCCATAATCTGTCACTCGATTCCGCCGGTAGCGAATGCCGTCTTGCAGGAGCAGTGTCTCCTTGTTGGGCTGCGTGTGAAGTCGAGACTATCCGGCACGTCTTCATGGCTCTTGGTGAGGAAGTATAAAATGAATGAGCGAGTAACTCGTCGTTCTGTAAGCAGCAAGCATGTGGAAGCAAAAGTGGGAAGCTAGGGAAGAGCTATTCATTTGAGCCCATAACGATTCGGCTCCAAAAGAACAAAGCTTCCCGTGATGTGATTTCTCTTCAGTGTTGATATATGGCAAGGAGGCCAAGTTACGGGGGACATTGGTCATTGGTAGCCGGTTGCAAGAAACCTCTCGAGCTTGAATTCGCCCATGGTGTTGCGCGTCAAAGCCTGGAGCCCATCGTCTGTCGAACCTTGCCATGTAGCATGGAACTCCACGTCCTTAGATACGACCGTGAGGACAGAGCTGGTGGTGGGCCAATAGAGAATGACTGCGCCGACAAAAATTCAACACGGATCTCTTATTGGCAGAACGTACGCCGCTCGAATTTGGAATATGGAAGCAAGGTAGTGGAATATTCTCTGGCAACTACCTTGACGAAAACAGCATATCGCTGGGCCCTAAACTCTCTGTCTAGACCAGCGACTCATCGACCTAGCAAACTCAGAGTTCAAGCTTATTTAAGGTGTCAACAGAGACTTCGTCATAGGGGTTCTCGACTGTGGTCTGCGTGGTGTCTCGGATGCGGTAGTTGAAGGCGTGGACCGCGTGGACTGCGAGAGGAGACTTTTGTCCGCCCTCAACGATTTTCATGGTCCTTTTGCGTGGGCCTAGCTTTGAGAACGCCGTGAACGTGGACAACGCCTGGAGACTCCGATGGATGCGGAAAGTGAATACGTCTTTAGACAGCAAATCGTTTTCTCAAGTAACAGGCCTACTCTGGAGAGAAAACGCCCGTCAGATGTACGGCACCTCGGAGTAGATTCCGATTTTCCAAGGGTCCGGGTCTCCACTCGACTTCACTAGTCTCTGAAGCCAAAGTGGTTCCCAAATTCTGGGTAGGGGAGGAGGAAGGAAATTTTGAACTGCATGCGGAAGTGGGAAAGCCATGCTCTTGACCCTCATGGCAGTAGAGAAAGAGGATGCCATTCGGAGAAAGTATTTCTCACGAGGGACTAACGTGGCCCGCACGAGGAGGGCCCGGGTCTCGACCGTCAAGTGCTGACGGTGTTGTGGCGAGAAGATCACTTACCTTTTGGTAGTAGTTGGGGAGACGGTCGTAGACCAGCGGAAAGGGAACGGCGGACGGGCGGTGGGGCCGGGGGGATGAATGGCAGCAACAAGACATTGGGGCCGGCGGACTCCAGTCTCGAAGCCGTCAGCTTTTTAGGTCAGCCGCTTTGTCCGAAGAGGCAACGTCTCCCCGGGGCCTAGAGATTCGTTAGTTGTTAGACGACTTGGTGATTTCGTTGACAGATGCTAGAGTCGGCCTCTCGACTGTATTCGTTCACGATTTACGGCAATCGGAGCGGGCTATAATTTAGAGGTGATCTGAGACTATTCTGCCGTCCGCCCGGGCATCGGCCGATACGACTTAGAGGGAAGCCGACATTGGGCAACTGAGAGTCGGCGAGAGATGAATGCTGAGGGATGCATGGGCGTGGGAAGTTTAGCCAGCCACAAAGAAGCGAGATGGGGTATGAATTCCTCAGGAGCTATGACTAATTGGACAGTACGACATAGCGCATTCATCTGAGACACCTGACTTCGACGTTTCTTGTACACCTATCCGTAGAGACCCTTCCAGAGCAATGTGATTTGCCTTGCCGTCACCTTCAGCTGGTTGGCCTGGTCCCGCGAAGACCATGCCTAGGCCACGTTTTCGAGACACGTTTTTTGACGTTTGCGAAGAAGTTCACGTGTGATGGGCAGGGTGTGATGGAGAAACGTCTGCTTGGAGGTATGCCATGATGAAATGTCGTGTAGAACAATGGACGGAGTGAGGTGGTATCCAACAACTTGCAACAGTCTGATAGTGTAACGAGGGAACAAGACAACATCGATATCGTGTGACTTGATTCACTTATTCTAAGCTTTAACCAATCGTGACATCGATCGTCTCACTTTCGAATTCACCCGTCAAGACCCCGTCGCCAAATTGCAACTTCTCAAGCGTCTCCTCGCTAAGCTTGTCCGCCGTCGTGGGCCAAACAGTCTGCCACTTGCCCTTGACAGCCACCCGTGCCGTCTTGCCGAGCTTATCGAGCGCCACGATGGGCTCCTTGAGCACCACCTCCTGGTCCTTGCTTTCACCCGGCTGGAGGGTGACGAGGTCCTCCGGGCGCGGCGGCATGATCCGGCGCAGCTGAACAGTGTGGACCTCGATCGGTTCGCTCTTGCCCTCAGGCGTGATGGAGACGAGGCCGACTTGGATGGCGAGCGGGTCGAGGGGCGTGTTCCAACGCAGGATGGTCAGCGGGGCGTCGTGCTTGTTTTCCACGGAGAAGGATAGTGTGGGAGGCGATTCTGAGGTCTGACGGATGCGGAGGGAGAGCTTAGATAGCGCACCGGCTTGCTGGTTCTCTTGCGCCATGATGTCTCTGGAGTAACCGCTGCGATTACAGGTTGAGAGGATGAAGATGAGGGCTACGATGAGGATGATGGGCCGAAAGAGCGAGCGAGCTTGGCAATTGCTCATCGATCCTGGTGCTCTTGTGATTGGTGTTGGAGAAATATGAGGATGGCGATAGGCAAGGACATGTGCGAGAATTGGAAGTCTTTCCAAGTTCTTGACTCGAAAGGTGTTATGTGGGATGAGAAATGAGGCTACGAAAGCAGGCGATGTTGACGTGGGCAGCAGATGTGTCTGAAGCGGAACAGCTTCCTAAGGCGGCAAGTGGGATGGGAGATGCCGGATGACGTCAATCGATCAAATGCGGTCGCCTACCAGTGCTGCTGGAAAATTCCTTTTGTTGTTGAATGTTTGGTGAAAAGAGGCAACATGGTGAATGGAATGAATTGTCGCGAGAACGCGCGCGCTAAGCTCGGAACAGCAGTAGAAGCCGTAAGTGTCTGGGAATGTCCAGCGGCTTCGACCACGCGAGTTTGGTTCCGTTCCTTTGGGACGGACCAAATGCCACGCTTGCCATGGTTCATGAGTTCAAGCTACGGAGACTATAGTCTTCTCGCGATGGTGTCAGCGGCGTGGATGAAGTTCATGAGAGACCCCCGATGTTTACGACGATGCGATTGAAAGCGGGCCAAGCTTCATCTAGAGAGCACGGCAGATCGGTTTTGCGCTTCTATCCGCTGAGGAGGCTGCCCGATCCCCAAATAAACTTACCTACTTGCGATGAACTAGATGACAGCTTCGGCCGGACGGCGGGAGACCCCGCACCTTGCATTGCATCGAAGATTGATGCGCCATGCTGCCCCCTGTTCTGCCTCCCCCCCCCCCTCTCTCTCTTCCTAGACTCGGCATTGGGCTAGTTGGCGACACGACTTCAGACGACGCTAGAATGGCAGGACGGGAAGGTAACACGTCGACTTCAAACTTGGTGCATAAAAATCTCGCGCCGGTCTACGGACGAAAGAGGAAGGTTGCCAGATCAGCGCTTTTGCGAAGGAAAATGACGGGGGTGCGGGGGAAGCAAGGATACGGAGGTCGGCGCCGGTGACCCACTATTTCCGTAGGTTCACTCCGTCCGGTAGTTGCCCGCGCCACTACCGGTCCTAGGGTCGAGGCCCTTCGGTGATGTTTCCGTTCTGCTACCGACGTCATCTCGAACGAGAAAAACGTGAACAACGTTTCTGGACCGCCATCCACTGCAGCGTGTCTCACTTGGTTTGCCGGCAACCTGGGACACTCAATAGGAGGAACTACTCGCTATTACGAACTAGCCCCAGCTGCCCGGGCACGGAGAATCCCTGTCTCACTCGTCAGCCAGCCCGTGTCTCGCAGCCACCGAGGGTAATTCGTGTCATGTCTCACGTCCGCTCCTTGTCTCTAGGAGACATCCAGCAAGGCGCGGTGCGTTAACCATCTACAGAAGAGGCTACGGCTCCCCAGGCTCTTTATCCCCACAATCCCGAAATCCGTTTGCGGACAGTGAGCCTCTTGGCCCAAACCGAGCCCCATGTAATCCGCTCCGAATGTAGGACGGTATTTGTGATTGGATGATCTTCCGACTTGAGTCCACGGCAGTTGAAGACCCGTGGTCCTCGTGTATACTTGCAGATCACTTGCAGATCGGCCAGGCTTGGCCTTTCCGTGGTCCTCAGGTACGCTGGAGTTTCCTGGTGTAATCAACACGCGATGTGACACCCACTTCCAAAGCGATTGGAGATTCCAAGGCGATTGGAGAGCGACATAGAGGCCTTAGTCTAGTGGCGCCGGGTGTCTTGTCTCTCCTCTCAATGAAGCTTCCGCATCTGTCCTTCGTGGCTTACACAAACCCAGGCTGTCCATCACGTTGGAACCTTAGTTTTCCCTACTAGGCTACTCGAGCCTGACGCACTTGCCGATTCCAGGCACTGCCCTTGCCCCCTTGTGAGGTGTATGCATCCCTCTCCAACTTCCTGCTCCTTCAGAGGTACTATACGCTTACCCTCCTTTAGCCTTTCGGTTCTCCTGTTGATCACAAGTAAGGTGTGCTCTCGATTCTTTGGCTCGACAATGGCGAGCGCCTCCCGCCCCATGGACTCTTCTTAGCCATCGGAACATCCTTTGGAGCCTCAAATTCCTGCCAGACTGCGATTTCGCGTGGCTTGGATCATGGCCGCTCTATTGCCCAACCGGATCGGGGAGCCACCAGATTTGATGTCAACTCGAGTGGTATCGTGCGCTGAACGGTAAGACCCGTTGAGTTTTCATTTAGTATAAAGCCAAATGAAATCCCATCCTCTTCATGGCTTTTCGTTTGGATCACCACTCTCAACTCCAACAGTCTCTCAACTATTCACCATCGACACCGAAAACTCTCCGCTTCGCAAGTCAAGATGAAGTTCTTCGCTGGTCTCACCATCCTGGCCTCCCTTGTGAGCGCTTCTCCCATCGAGCTCGTGAAGAGGGACACTCCGCTCCAAGCCAATGTGACCAAGAACGGCAACACGGCTGTCAAGATCGCCTTGAAAAACGTTGGCAAAGTTGACCTCAAGCTCTTCACTCCCGGCACCATCTTGGACACGGCTGCCGTTGAAAAGGTTGCCGTCTTCAATGGAGGTAAGAACTTTTCTAAAAAACCTCAAAATCCTGGCGCTGACTCAAATTATAAGACAACCGCCTCCCCTTTGATGGCGTCCGCTTGCGCATGGCCCCACAGAATCTCCTCACCGACGCCTCCTTCAGGACAATCAAAGCTGGCGAGACTATTGAATCTGCAGTCGACTTTGCAGAATTGCATGACTTGGGCAAGGCCGACACCTTCAAAGTCATGGTCAACGGCGGTATCCCTTACGCACAGGCCGGCTCGACAACCATCGCCGGCGTCCTGAACATCGACAGCAACACGCTCAACATCAACAACGTCAACGTTACCAAGGCGGCCCTCACACGCACGTCATACAAGCAGATGATCAAGCGAACCATTGTACAGTCCGATTGCAAGGGCGTTCAGAACAACACTGTGACCGCGGCTCTCATCAGCTGCCAGAAGCTCGCCCGCGCCGCTGCCGACTACGTCACCAAGGACGATAAGCGCTTGACCGAGTACTTCAAGTCGACTACCGCTGCCAGCAAGAAGACCGTCGTCGACACCTTTAACAAGGTCGCTTCCGAGTGCGGCAGCCGGAACAAGGGCGTCTCCAAGCAATACTGCAGCGACGTCTACAAGTCCTGCTCTCCCGGCGTCCTGGCCTACACCGTCCCGGCATACAAGTACATGGTCAACTGCCCTTTGTACTTCACTGCGCTTCCTTTGCTTACCACCGGTTGCCACAACCAAGACCAGTCGACGACAACTCTGGTACTTATTCTCTCCTCGAGACTTTTGAGTGGAGCTAACCATTTTGATCGTTTAGCACGAGATGACGCACTTGCTCGAGGTCAAGGGAACACTCGACTTTGGCATTTACGGCTACACTGCATTGAAGACTCTTACGAGCGCTCAAAACCTCAACCATGCGGATACCTATGCGGTCTACGCGAATGGTAAGTCAAGAGAACCCAAGAGCCAACTAAGAAGTGATGGCTAACACTCTAATTTCAGCTGTCAACATGGGCAAGACTTGCTAGCCGCGATGAGGAGTTGAGAGTTTTCGTACATATCCACCAACAAAGACTACCGAGTTCTTCTGTGCATATTCAACGGGACCGACTAGGCTAGGAGTCTACGCTGCTCCATGTATAGGCGACGGTCTTTTTTAATGTTCAACTTTAATGGTCAACCACTAGTACTTAGCTTTGGTATTGGGAATTAGAGGGGCCCTTAGATCTGTCATTTTCAACGCAATAGAAACGAGATCATGATTCATTCACACTTCACAGATATCTGATGATATAGTGACTCTAATGTGCTAAGAACCACCTGAGCCCCCTGCAATTCCGAGGCGAGAGCCTGTCTCCAATCGAAGTGGAAGAGCGAATGATGACGATTAGTTGTTCAAGTGCTTCCAGGACAAATGAAAAACAGGCCTGGTTGACGACTAGCCATCGTAGGTCATTAGTCTCGTATGTTATTATCGATAGTGCATCTTCTGTAGTCATCGCCATTGCTAGCAAAGCATACACGAGATCGAGGAAACGCTCAATTAAAGGTAGTTTAGGAAGAACAGTAAAGTAAGAAGAGTACAGCGACGAGCAAGAGTGTGGGCAAGAGCTTGTGTGAGGTTCTTCGTCAATTGCGCCCCAGTTAAATCATTCTGTCAGGGAAGGAGAAAGCAGGGGCAAGTTTTCGACAGAGACATCCGAGCGAGGATAGACTTTGTGTTGGACCATACCTGATTGACTAAGTATAGTCTTATATGGTAACTCGTTGTGTTTGTTGTAATCCTACGTCGTCCAAACGTTAGTGACAAGTCTGACACACGACCCTTGACCAAGGGGTGCCCATTTGGGGTGGCGGCACTAGGACACCAGGTCAACATGCAGGGCATAGACATTGACATGAAAAAGACCCGATCCTCGCCTGATCAAGCTTCTGGAAGCTCGTGACTTTCTTTCGCCAGCAGCATTTTCTAAATTCTAACCGGGACTCTGCATGGATGTTGCGGGTTGGGCATGCATGCTGTTCCCGGGCGCTAATGGCAAGGCGCAGCACAGGAGAGGCGGTCTTGATTTTTGTTGGAAAATAGTTTCCCTCCTAGATGAGTTGATGTACGCATACCCGTTTTTAATCTTTGTATTTTGAATACCATACCAAGGCGGGCCCAGCCGTGAGGGGCCAAGGAGGCGAAGCTCAATAGTTCACCTTACAATTTCACGTGCGGTTAGTTGGAGAGGAGCTCGAAGTCCGGGCTGCAAAGACTCGAAATAACATCGTATCTATCCCGTCCCGCTGGGACATTAGACATGGGTTTTGCCGTAGCCAGCCGTCGGCCTGAACATTAGATCCCAATCACTCAATGATGAGCCCCGCTGGGTGGGACCGTCGACCGTTCGTGACCTCGCACTCGGGCCCAAGAGCGGGTGCCGGTAATCGAAGGACTCTAGTGTACGGATACAGAAGTCTCTCATTTTCATGACCCGGTTAAGTGGATGTTGCGAGATGCGTACGCAACTACGCAATCGTCAATGGGGCTACTACTGTTTACGCTGCCCGCGCCTTGCACGCGTGTCATGCGTAACTCCGCATACTCATGAAAGCAGGACAGGTCCACAGGATACAGCGAGCTTGAGGTTGTCGTCGTGAGGGTTTTATGATACGTGCTAGTCCTGCAGGACGAAAAGTTTACCGAGTCGTGGGCCGCATCTTGTCCGTGCTTTATTACACGCGCGGGCGCCAGAGCCTCGAAGCCTAGGGGGAAGAAGCAAGGTTTGCTGGAATGCCCCGTGTGCTTTGGCATATTTTTAAACAGGTATTATTGCGCCGTCCCGGACGGCGCAGGACACCCGCGTAGAGTTTTGGGCCGTTCGGACTGGCAAAAGTGTAAAGCTTGCGAAGAAAGCACCGAAGCAAGGGATATGGGACGAGCTCGCATTGCACGGCCGGCACGTTGCGTAGGGAGACAATCACACACACGCACAGCAGAAAGGAAGGCCTAATACGAAAGGGATGGCGGGATGTCTAGGATGTCGCGTCTTGTCACTTGCAAAGTTCCATAGGGGGGAGATTCCGTGATTCCGTACGAACGCTGAGGGGATTGATCGGCCATGGCAAGGTTTAGTTGGCTGAACGGCGACAACAGTCTCTCTCGAGACCAAACACCTGTGCAAAGAATGGTTACACAAGTGCAAGCCACCGAGACTCGACAGAAAGTTACAGTGAACAGTCCATCTCTGTACGGACGTACTCCGTACGGATATCCTGAGGATAACATATTTGTTTGCGTGCTTGTTGTGACTTGTGAAGTGGGCGACGCGGGACGGACAAGTATCAGGGGGTGGCGAGTTACGCAGCAGGGTGGGTAGGTAACCTTGCCATAGTTGTCTTCCCTGTGCCGACAGGATCTCCTCTTCTGTGTCTTGTCAAAAGGTACGAATGCTGGACGACGTCTACACTACACAGTGCGATGGGCTCGGAGCCGGCTATTCTCCCGTGGCGCCAAAAATTGGTGCTCGTAGTTGCTTGCTTCCCGCACCTCCATCTGCTCCTGTTTTGCCAACCAGTGACGGCGAAGCTGCAGGAACAACCAGCATCACAGTCAGATCGCGGCGGTGCTAATGAGAAATATCCCCTGAGGACACTGTGTCCGACACACCTGATCTGCTGGATCAGCGGTTCCGTCAACCAAGATGGACCGCCACATCGACAGACTCGGCGAATGATCTGTTCCTCGACGGGCTGGACGGCGGCGCTGGATTGGCTCCGATTCGGCAGCCGACCAAAGAAACGAACGGGAAAACCCATTCACTACCGACCTCAAACAGCCATTGTGCCATGCTCTCTACGATGATTATGTAAACGACACTGAAGACAGCGACGGGACCACCGTGTAGACCGGGTCTTGATGTACTGCGTGGTGGTGCGTTCAGAGTACTACGTATTGCGTACTAGCGTATGCAGCACAGTGGACAGCGACAGCTAGCTCCCGCGAGCGGTCGAGGGTCGAGGTCGCAGTCCAGTCGGGTCCTGTGGATCGTCATCTTCAAGAACGCAGGTCCGGCCACATTCGCACCCTATCGTACAAGTTCTAACTTCCCCCTTACGGCGTGCGGGCGAAACCTTGCAACTGCAAGTGTGCAACTGTACCATTGCGACACCGGCCACTAGGCAACTCTGGTCAAACTTCTAAGCCATGTCGATTCGGACTCGGCGAGCGGCTAGGGGGGCCTGGTAAAAGGGTTCGGGACGCGGAGCCCTAACGAGGACCCTGGATCCTCTCTCTTGGGTTCTTGAATATGTGAATGGGAGGCTGATGATATTATATTGATGGCTGAATAAATGTCGAAGCTGGATGGGGCGGTAGCACGGCGGAGAGAGAGTCTGTTGGACGAACCTGACGACCAAATCAGTGTTCCGCTTTTCCACAGCTTGCTATGGAGTTTGGCAGATCATGCTGTTTGGGTTGGCACGCTTGGAACACCCCCGCGATCCCAGTTTGCCACAGTTTGAGGCTTCCTAGGGGCGATGCTTGTGTCCCTCGACCGTCGACCGTCGACAACGAAGGAGATGGATGTGGAGGGGGGACGGGATGCGCAGGGCAGAGAGAAAGCGTGTGGTGCCGCTGGCCGCTGGTGCGCTTCTTCTCCTCCCTTTTGAAACTGGGGGAACGCTTGCGAGCTCTGAATGGCCGAGGTGACGGTGGTGGGTGGGGCTCGCTTGACGGGAATGGTGGAGATGAACAGTGTGAAGCCGTTCCTATATGAGAAATAGGCACTATATACAAACTTCCTCCAGTGGTTTGTCTGACTTGTGCTGTCCGCTGTCCAAAGGTGTTGACTCTCTCAACTCCAGGCCTTGAACAAGCCCCGTTGCCCCGTTAGGCTCCCCGTTTGGTCAAAGTTGATCCTGGTCAGCCCGCTGTCCCGGTCGAGCCTACGACGACACCCACAAACGGCCGCTTATCCGCACTGTATACAAACGGCACCCAAGAGCTTCCCTTGCCTTCCACCCTTCCACAGCCCGCCTGGCGCCTGCCGGCTTTGCTGGTGACCTCCAGCTCCCGCCGGTTCCTGACAGACTTCCATAACCTACCTACCTTACGGAGGAAGGTAACCTGGGCTGCATTCACTGGCATGGTCACTGGGCTAATTAGGTACCTTCGGTAGCTGACAGACCTTGAGGTGACTTCCACCTCAGTGCATGCTTCCATTGGCTTACCCCCGGTGCGTGTGCTTGTACCTGTGCTTCACCCCCCCCAAAAAAAACCAAAGCTGACAAGGTCGAAATCGAGGTGAGAGAGCAAGAGCAGGAAACATTCAAACCCGTTGCTCTCGCTCCCTATTTCCAACGGAGCCACCACTCTTCTTCTCCATCTCCATCCTCACCTTCGTCCCCCCAACCTACCTCGCAATCCGTCAACGGAACCACTTCACCTATCCTTCATCAAACCTACTGTTGATACCTCCCATCCGCCTCCACAGCTGCATCCCACCTGCTGTGTACGGAGTACCTTTTCGTCTTTGTGGGCTCCGATTCAGTTCGCTAGCCCAACCCACATTCACATGGTCCTTTTCCGCCGTCGGACCATCAACACCACAACCACGAACACGACCTCTACGACGCCCACAGCTGCTTCCATGTCTCGCCTGCTCTTCAACCAACACTGGGAAGCGTTGATGTAAATCCCTTCCGCATTACAACAAATCTACCATGCTGCGACGGCCTCCAGGCGAAGGGACGCGCGTTGCTCGTCAGCGAACCTACCTCCTTGCTCTCGCTGTACTCGCCATCTCATGTCTACCCCTCGCCGATGCTCAGCAACAGCAGAAACCTATCGAGCCCATCCCCCAAATACACAGAGTCCATCAACACCAACCCGCTGCCGGAAGCAGTCAACACGAAGCCGTTCGTGATGTACTCCCTGACGCTGCTGCCCGCAACTGGGCCGCTACCAATATCAAGGCCGACAATGCTGTCGAGTCTCCGAGGCGTCGAAACTCCGTAACCTCGAAGCAATCCCAACCCAATAAACAAGAACACGAACGTCGGTCCGACCCCGACAACATACTCATTCCTCACGATGCGAGCGCCATCGCAACTTTGGCTCCGGCTCAGTCCGTGCGAGCACCTCCTTCTGGACATCGACCCATTGCCTCCCGCGTTGGAGGTGGTGGGATCTCTACGCAGCACCATGCGCGGAGTCTGAAGGACTGGGAAGTAGAAGACTTCGTTCTTATGGCGACCGTCGATGGACACCTTTATGCCAGTGATCGTAATCACGCCACTGAGCGCTGGCATCTCGAGGTTGATCAGTCAATGGTCGAGACGACACATTATCGTCTCAACGCGTCCGATCTGGACGATGACTACAACCATATCGACCACTACATCTGGGCCATTGAGCCCAACCGCGATGGAGACATTTACTACTGGTCTCCAGCAGGCTCCACTGAGCCCAGACTATTATCTACCGGCCTGACCATGAAGCAGATGGTTGACGAGGGCGCCTCGGCCCTCGATAATCCCCCAATCGTCTACACGGGCACTAAGAAGACCACCATGATCACACTTGATGCCGCTACGGGCCGCGTGCTCAGGTGGTTTGGCTCCGGCGGCTCCCACGTCAACGAAGCAGAGAGCTGCTTGCGCCCAAACGCACTATACGACCAGAACAACGAAGAGTGCCGCTCCGCCGGCACAATTACTCTGGGCCGCACTGAGTACGAGGTCGGCATAGCTCGCAGAGACGGTCGACCGATCGCTACTCTCAAGTTTTTCGACTGGACTCCTAACACAAATGACTACGACCTGCTCAACCAACACCATCAATCCATTGACCAGCGCTACCATACCACCACACATGATGGCAAGATCTATGGTGTTGATTACGCCAATGCTCACAAGGACAAACTGCCTATTTTCTGCAATGCGCAATTTGCCTCGCCTGTAGTCAAGGTCTTTGACGTCTGCAGACCCATGGGACTCGAACCCTTGAGCAACCCCGATCTCATTGTTCTTCCCCAACCTGTCCCACCAGCCAAGGATGACAGCAACGCCCGGATTCGAAGCCAACGCATCTTCGTCAACCAGACCGACACGGGCAACTGGTACGCTTTGTCCGGGCGTTCTTACCCTCTCATATTGGACGCCCCCGTGGCCAAGACTTCGTCACCTGACTGGCTCCAGCTTGCCCAACCGTGGGGCAAGCTGAACGAGACGCAGCGGGTTGGAGCAATGATCGGAACCCACTACATGGATGGTGTCATTAGGGGAAAGATCTACCAACCCCCTAGTCTACCTGGACGCGCAGAAGCGTCTGATGCAGTGGTGGACCCTGAAAACCATCCAGTTCTGCCCACTACTGTTCCAGACGACGCTGTAGAGACGCCTACCATCGTCAACAAAGTCAAGTCTATCCCGCATCACGTTTCCAACAGCGTTATCGACTTCTTCTCCAATCCTGTTTTGATTGTGCTCATTGTTTCCGTTCTGTTTTACTATCAGAAAGATCTACGTCGTTGGTACAAAACTAAGACGACGAAGTGGTATATGCGAGATGAGGCTGCTTCCGACACAGAGGATATGGGTGCCGATGCAACTCCTGAGCAAACGATCCATGACGAGATCCCTCCTTCTGCGCCTGAGCAGGCGGATGCACGTTCGGTACCACAAGAGGCTGCTGCCGACAAGCAGCTAGCGCCTGAGGGTTCAGTCCCCGCAATTGAACCTGCCACTGAGAACGAGAGAGAAAGTGAGAAGACGCCAATAGTTGATCAATTGGCCGCAGGCGTGGACAAGCAGTCTTCTGCCACCCCCCCTGAGCCCGGTACCCCTGATGTCAAAAAGAAGAAGCCTGCTCACCGTGGCCGTCGCGGAGGCACAAAGCACCGGAAGGGAAAGAAGAGAGAGGAGATGTCGCAGTCTCGCGACGACGAACCACCTGCTTCCGTCGAGGAAGCCGTCAACAAGGCCAAGAAGCTTGGTGTACAGGCTACTGGTTTGGAGCCCGATGTAATGACCATGACAAACGACATGCAAGCGGTAGGCGAGTCGATCATCAAAATGGGCGGCATCGAGGTCGACACCGAGAATCAACTTGGCACGGGCAGCAATGGCACCCTGGTCTTTGCTGGTAGATTTGACGGGCGTGAAGTGGCTGTCAAGCGGATGCTTATCCAATTCTACGATATTGCCTCTCAGGAGACGAAGTTGTTGCGAGAGAGTGATGACCATCCCAATGGTAAGATTTGAAAGACGAATGCTTCTGTGGACAAGTCTAATAAACAATTTTAGTCATTCGATACTATGCCCAGCAACAACGAGATGGATTTCTGTACATTGCTCTCGAGCGCTGTGCAGCCTCTCTGGCAGATGTCATTGAGAAGCCTCACCACTTCACCCGATTGGCTCAGGCAGGCAAGATGGATTTGCCTGGTGTCTTGTACCAAATCACCAACGGCATCCACCATTTGCACAATCTTCGCATAGTCCACCGCGATCTCAAGCCACAAAACATCTTGGTCAATATGGGCAAAGACGGACGACCGCGCCTTCTCGTATCCGATTTCGGTCTCTGCAAAAAGCTAGAAGGTGGCCAGTCCTCCTTCGGCGCCACCACCGGTCGCGCCGCGGGAACATCTGGTTGGCGAGCCCCTGAACTGCTACTCGACGACGATGCCAGGGACACTGCCACTATGGAGTCCAGCATTCAAAGCGGATCAGGATCTATACTTGTTGGTTCCGACATGATGTCCAACCGTCGTGCCACTCGCTCCATTGACATTTTTAGCTTGGGTCTGGTATTCTTCTACGTCTTGACGAATGGTTCACATCCTTTCGACTGTGGCGATCGTTACATGAGGGAGGTGAATATTCGCAAAGGCAATTACAATTTGGCGCCTCTAGATGCACTCGGCGACTTCGCGTATGAGGCCAAGCATCTTATCAGCTTGATGTTGAATGCCAACCCCAAGGAGCGTCCTTCAGCTCGTGATGTTATGGCTCATCCCTTCTTCTGGTCTGCCAAGAAGCGCCTTGCTTTCTTGTGCGACGTCTCGGATCACTTTGAGAAGGAACCCAGAGACCCTCCTAGCGACCACCTTGTTCACTTGGAGAAGCACGCGCAGGCGATCACCAAAGGCGACTTCCTGCGTCTACTGCCACGAGACTTTGTGGATTCTTTGGGCAAGCAGCGTAAGTACACGGGGTCCAAGCTGCTTGACCTGCTGAGAGCCCTACGTAACAAGAAAAACCATTACGAGGATATGCCCGATTCATTGAAGCGGACAGTTGGGCCTTTGCCGGAGGGTTATTTGGCTTTCTGGACAGTAAAATTTCCCAGATTATTGTTGGATTGCTGGAACGTGGTATGGACCGTGGAATGGGATAGTACTGACCGCTTCCGGGAGTACTATGAGCCGGCTGGTCTTTGAGGTAACCTTCGTTTGTCCTAGTCCACATAAAAGTCATTCTTTTCAAATGTATTTTCCTCGCCTGCGAACCGATGATGTTGCTAGTGAACGCATGGAAATGTCGGCGACCCTCGGGGTACTTACTAAGAGTCTCGATTCCCCAACTTTTAGCTGGCAATAAAGAGTACAGGTCACGTAAACTTTCTCTCGAGACTCCGAGCATCGTACCCACTGCCCCCTCGTGCGGGTTTGACGAAGTGTGTAGCCAAGTCTATCCGGGTCCTCATTGCTACAGACGACCTACGGTGGTAACCGAGAGGGCCAAGGCTCATATTTGCTCTACTTGACGGCCTGTTTATTTCTTGTTACTTTTCTGCAACTCCTAGGTTTTCTTTATTCCTTCTCAAAACTCCGGGCCACGTATGGCCAACTCCCTAGGTATTGAGCAATCTTCTTCACAGCGCGGCTTAATATGCCGTTAAATACTGTCACTCATCCATCACAACGCCTCGTACCACCAACTTCTTCTTTAACCCCACTGGACAAGCACCTTTTTGCCCTTCTTCTTCTTTCCGCCTGTGCTCTGGACAGCGTCCTCCTCCTCCTTCTCCGACACATTCTCGCTTGCTGCTCCGCTTCCCGGGGCCGATCCCCAACTGAAGCTGCTAGCGGCACCGCCAAGATCGCGTCGTACACCTCGGCCCGTGCCGTAGCCGAAGATTGTTGTGAGGGGTTTCTGCGCTGGGGGCAACGCGGGGAAGGCAGAAGATGGCGGCGGGCGACCGGCGGGCGTCGAACGCACCGGGCCTGCGGGGCCGGATGATCTGGAGGCGGAAGGTTTGTTCGGCCCGATCCAGGATGGCTGGGGTGCCGAAGACTTGGATGACGAGGAAGCCGCGGGGAGCGCAGGGAATGCGGATGATACTGGTGGAGGACGCGAGCCGCTCGATGACGAGACCCAGTTACTCGAAAAGGCCGGTGTCACGGGCTTAGGTCCCGAGGCGCCGGCTCGGGTGCTGTTCTTCAGCCTTAACACTCTGTTTGAGTGCTTCTGGTTCTGGTTCGGTGCCGCCGCTGGTGCAGTGGGGGATGGGGAGGCCGCGCTGGCCCAGCCGCTTGAGGCTGTCGTCGCGCCGTGCATACCGCCCAAGCCAGGCAGAGACGGGTAATCTTCATTGATGGCTCTCCAGTCCTGCCATGCTTTATGCAGGGCAGTGACCTTGCTCTTGTCCTCGAACAAATCAGCAACCTCACGGACCAGAGTGCCCAACGCGTTTGACGATGTGTCGGCGAAGAGCGAAAAGAAGGCATCGACCAGTTGAGGGGCGGTAAGTTTTCCTTTCCGGAAATTCGAAATGTACTCGCGGAACGCATTCATCTTGGACTGGTCGTGGCCAAGCATGTTTGAGGCGCGCTCAACAACTCCTTGGTGGCGCAACATCACCGCCCTCTCCTGAGGAGGCAACGATGCGATATCGGTCACGTTGAGCTGCTCCATCTCGACAGTGGGCAACACAGGTGCAGGGTTAGCCGCGGCTGCGGGACCTTGACGTGATGATCCTCCAGGTGCCGGCGCACCGTTACCTCGGCGAGTCGAGGAAGCCGGTGTCGTGCTTGATGGCTGGGAGAGCGAGCCATCAAAGGTGCGGTTGGAAACTGACTGTGCTGAATGGATGGCCATCTGTCTTTGGAAGGCAAGCTCATCGCGACGGAGCGGTTGCGCAGAGCTCTGGGGTATGGGCTCTGCATTGGGATCCCGACCACGGCCACGACCTTGGCGTCCGCCTGAAGGTCCATCGCCACTGCCGCCGCTTCTTCCTCCCCCACTCCCTCCGCGTCTCTCGTTCTCGTATGGCGATCTATAGTCAAAGCCTGACATGTTGACTACCCTCGCATCTCTCCGAACATCCTTGGACAGAGAGTTGCCATGCTCTGCCAGTTGATGTGCCTTCAAGTCCATCTCCGACTCAAAGACGACGAACTTCTTCTCCAAACATTCTTTATCCAGACAAGGGAAGTGATCTTTTTCGAAATGCTTCTCTAGGGCATTGTAGTTGACAAAGTAGTGGGGGTGTCTCGAGTCTCTCCGGTCGCAGATGAAACATCTCTCGTGCTTTTCGCGACAGTGATCAAATAGCTTATCGTCGTCGTAGAAACGCGATCCGCAGAATCCGCAGAGTGGGTGGCCCTTAAAGCCCGTCTGATCAATGGCACCTGGTCTGTCGTCTCCATGTCTCATATGCTTCTCGAGCTCTTTGTCCGCGAAGAGCTCGTGCTCGTGAGTAAAAACCTTCTTGTTCCTGGTACACAGGTCGCACATCTTCATTTGATGCGTTGAGCGGACGTGCCTGTGAAGATCTGGCCAGCCTAATCCAGCGAAAACGCAGTCCTCCGCAGGGCAGTTGTATCGGAGGAGCACGACAGTGTCGCCAACAATCTCCTCGTTGGTATATCGAATACCAATGTTGCTGTCGAAACTTGTAATGTCGGCGTTGGTGTAATCTTCGTATCGCTTATTCGCATCCTCTGTGAAGACGACGAAGGGAGAAGGAGTCTAGCTTGGGGTCAGTTTCCGCGTATCAGTATAGCGCCAGTGGAAGTAAGACTTACTCGGCAATGAGGACAGTCCTTGGTCTTGTACAGGGCCCTCATGCGAAGACCACAGATGTGGCAGGTCTTGTGGTTGCATGGTGCAATCGAGTGGAACTTGATGGGCTCTGCGCAGATGAAGCATACCTCTCCGTCGCTACTCGCCGTATCATCATCCTCTGCGGCCGTACGTGTAAGCACCTTGTTATCGGCCTTGGTGATAGATGGATGAGATGTGCTCGAGGTGTCTGGCTGAGTTGGCACTGCAGCGTTGTTACCGCCCCTGCCACGTCCTCCTCTTCCTTTTCCCCGGGTTCCAGAATTGCCTCCTCCTCCTCCTCCTCCTCCTCCACCGCCGCGACCTCTTCCGCGGTTACGACTGCCCCTCGAGGGGTTAGAGTCACCGCCCGCAGCTTGAGTGTCGGCCATCGGGAGAGTCGTCTTTCATGCAGACAGCGGGCGTGGAAGCCAAGGATGGGGTTGTCCAGTCGGCTGAACAGCTCGGTCGAGACCAGCTGTCTCTCTTGTACCAACAGTGCGCTTGTTTGATGCGCGAAAATGGTCTTCGACTTAGACTTGGTTATGACCCGGTATAGCTGCAGCTGGAGAGCTAGTTCCGGAGTGTGTGTAATGGTTTTGAAGTGCAGCGCAAATGGAGGCAAAAACGAGAGAGGGCTTGGATGTAGGCGGGCAGCCCGGTACTTTTAATCGGGCGCGGCGAGACGAGAGACGTCGAAATTAATGATTATGTGTGGCTCCCAAGGGAACCGCAGGTGGGTTGGGTTGGCTCTGGCATTGGTGGGCGGAGGGAATTCATGGCGGGGTCCAGCAAAAAGTCCCCTTGCTTGTTGCTGCCCCGGGACGGCTAAGCGACCGGGGTTTATCCGTGCTCTCGGTGTGCGTCATTCACCCCTGCAACCGCCTGCTGCCACCGCCAGGTTCAAGAAGCTTCGAAGGTGCTGGGGTGGTTGCACAGGCTTACATAACAGGAGAGATGGAACATAAGCTAACAGCTGAGCTTCATGGAGTCACCAGCAAGGTCTAGGACACGTGTGGCTTCGCACCCAAGTCATGGAGGCGGTGCACGAGAGATGGATAATCAAGTCTTCTTGAGACTTCAAGGATTGGAAATCATCCATACTCTAGAGTATATGCAAGATGACTCATCTGTAATCATCCTTTCTCGTACGGATACGAAAGTCCTGACAAGTCATAGTTACGCTGTGGCAACTTATTCTCTCCTTTGATGCCTCTCTGCTACTCTCTGAACTAGGTAAAGGGAGTAATATATCGTTATCACTCGAAAAATATTGCGTCGCTGGAGCGGCATGATGCTAATCAAGTCTGTTTGAATAGAGTGTCTAATGGAGACTAGTGTCGACCTACTCCAAAGGCCGAGCTAGCCCAGATTCTCTACCTGGCGTAAAGCCTGCAATTGCAGCAATGGCTGCGACGGCCTGCATGGCTAAATATGTGAAGATGCCATGCCGACAACGGACCCACCCTCTACTAATATCTTCCTCGAGAAAGCACTCGGTACTTCGCGGTTCACCGTCCATTTGCTGCCTATACCCGGATGCCCAACCAAACCGCCCGAAAGTTCTGATTGCCAGTCCCAAACCAGAAAGACGCCACTGCTTTAAATCGCCCCGCTCGTCCGTGTTATTTTCATCCTGGGCCACCTCCTTATGTTCTTACTGCTCTTCAACCGGGTAAAGGTGGGCGCCGATCATCTTGTTCATCTGGAACATATCCACCTTAGATTGCTTGAAAATGGCATGCATCTTGTCGTCGCAGAGAATTTGTCGCTTGTTTTCTGGATCCTGCAGGTCGTTGCCTTTGATGTGTTCCCAGAGCTTCTTGACAACCTGCGGGCGAGAGAGCTGGAGGGAAAAGTTAGCATGTAACCACCACCCCACATGCCCTCCGGCGAGGCCATACCTGGGGTTCGCCAAGCAACTCTGACAACGGTTCGCTCAGGTTGAAGGGCTTTTGGAATCCACCGCCAGCCTTGCGTTTCGGTGCTTCCCCGTTGTCCTCGACGTCACTGTCATCAATTTTCTTGTCGCTCTTCTTGCGAGGCGCCTTCTTCTTTTTGACCGCCTTGCCGCCCTTGCTACTTGCGCCGTTGCCGCCACGAGTCGTCCGTCCTCTGGCCATTCTGTTCTCCTGAGCTTGTAGCTCAGCGGCGAGCTTGGCGTCGGCGTCTTCTGACGAGTCTTCGCGCTTCTGCCTCTTCCGGACAGGCGCGACGGACACCTCAATCTCGCCATCGATATCATCGTCGTGACCGTTGGCTTCTCGCTTCGGGGCGGGACTTGCGGAGTATGAGTCCGGTGCTGCGTCATTGGATCCGGAGATGGCGTCGAAGCGCTCTTCGATCAGTGCCTTGATGGCATCCTGCAAGCACTTGGGTCAGCTTCAGCTCATCGAGAGGTACCTGCCAACTGACTTGGGTAGCAAAGGTATATGCCAGCAGTTGGCGGCGGGATCGTTGAATTTGTTACCTTTTGATCAGTCAAGTCCTTCCCGCCAAGAGCTTTCTCCAGACCCAAACGGATTTTCTTGCGAGTGATGGTCGTCAAGTCTGCGGTCGCGAGAATACCGTCAATGATGGCGGTGTAATTATCCTCATCCTCGGAGCTGACTGCACATTTCACTTTAGCGACGGTGTGGCAGGCAACGAAACCCAGAATGCAGGAAACGTACGGGGAAGAGACATGATGCCGCCGGAGTGTATGATATTCCTGGACCAATATTTGTATATGTGTCGAGATTCGATCCGAAGCGGCCGATAGTTACAGGTGCACGGCCGGTTGAGGTTGTGGTCGACCGAGAGGATATGAAGCAAGACGCAGCTGGCCGGTCGATAGTGGCGGAGGAAGATGAGGAAACGGCAAGGAGGTCGTAGTCGGCAGGTGGGATGTGTAGTTGGCCTCGAATCAAAGCATGTCTTTTGCTACCTAACCCTACCTTGACATCAGAGGGAATGCGCGACGAGCATGGGAATTCGACTAGGGAATTCGACTAGATAGTGCGAAGCGGGATAGCACGATCCACGCCTCTGGCTGTATCGCGGCGGAGTGCATCAACGTGCCGACGCACACACAAGGCTGAAAGAGGACGATCTCGTAGTGGGGCGTCGCTGCCAAGGCGGGAGTCGCGAAGGATAGATGATGCACCCGTTGGATTTGAATATAAGGTGTCGGTTGAAAAGGTGGTGGTCTGGGGGGGTGAAAATGGAACGAGGAGGCTTCGTTCCAAACAGCCAGATGCGACGAGTATGCGGTGTCGGTGCAGTGTGTGGTGCGATCTGTGGCCCGGGCAAGAAAAGGTGAGGCTCACACTTTCCGATGTTTGGTTCTTGCCGGTACCTTTAGCGTGTGCTCTGTTCTGAGGACCGGGTAGGTATCCGTAGACACCTGAGCAACCAAAACCGACGAATAGGAAGCCCAAGTGCAGAATATGTGTGGCTGAAAGGAAAGACGGAAAAAAAGTGGTCTTGGGTCTTGCATTAGACGTTGGCTCGTGCTGCCATCAGTTCCAGACCGCGACTCCGTGCCAATCACATTGCCGAATTGACTCCCGGCTGATGTTCCTTCGGCAGGCCCCCCCACACCGGTCGATTGACAAGCATCACGTGGCTCGGTTTGCACGGCCGGGGAAGGCACCGCCGTGAGGTTTTACTCAGTCTTACCTCATTGGATGTCAATCAGAACATCTCAGCCTCCGTCGCACCTGCACGTCCTGGAATCTCGACATGGTTCGAAGCTTGTCTATTTGTTACGTACCTAGTAAGCCGCTGTGGCGGATACTTGCATGAGGCGAATTGCAATAGCCACGCTCCAGTTCAGAGTCAGGACAGTCACCTTAGGTTACCTCATGCCGTTGACCGTATCTCACTCACTGTTCCTGAGGTTTCGGTACCTTGCTCAGTGACAATTCAAACGCAAAGGTCGAGCGACGGATAGGTCTCCCCTTTGCGAGGCAACCCCCCTTTAGAACGAGACGAGAAGTTTCGCTACGGATACCACGTCTCGAAACCGCCCAAGAAAGCCAGCCTTGTCATCTTCAAGTACATCACAGGGTACTTCTCAAGGTGCCTTACTGAGGATGACGTTACACGGCTCGACTTCGGTCGCCTGTCAGCACCTTGTCGGATCGGGGAAGCTGACCCTCGGTGTGCTGTCCAATCAAAACATCGAAGCCCCCTCGGTGAAGATCAGCACGGATCCCAAATCGGCAAAGGCGCACTCCACCATTCCAAGTTAGCTTCGGGCCAATGAAGTCTCCGGCGGTCACAACTGTATGATATTCCTCAGAACACCAAACTACCTTTTGTGATCGGACTTAGCCATTCAAGTGGTGACGTCGGTTTCCGTAGTCACACTCAACTTATTCCATTCCCATCCTCAACCCAGCACTTCTGTCTTGTATTGTCTAGATCAGTGCATTCCATCTTGCTTTCCATTCCGTCGGGCAGAAAAGTCAGAATGCTCAACCCCTTCAGCATCTTCACTCAGGCCTTTCCGCCGCGGCCGCAGTTCACTGAGAAGGATATTCCTGATCTCTCTGGCAGGGTTAGTCAATAGCGTAATGTGATGAATATGAGTCGCTTGAAACTTACACGTCGCAGGTCTGCATCGTGACGGGAGCAAACACTGGTGTTGGCAAGGAAGTCGCACAGATTCTCTACTCCAAGAACGCCACCGTCTACGCTACCTCTCGTTCAGAGGAAAAGGGTCGTTCTGCCATTGTTGCTATCAAGGAGGCAGTGCCCAATTCCACCGGAAAGCTAGATCTCCTCACCCTAGATCTGGCTGACCTCACCACCATCAAGCCCGCAGCCGACACCTTCCTCGCCAAGGAGACACAACTCCATCTTCTCATCAATAATGCCGGCGTCATGATGCCACCTCAGGGGAGCAAGACGGCCCAGGGCTACGAACTACAGCTGGGAACGAACTGTGTCGGCCCGTTTCTCTTCAGCAAGCTGCTGACGCCGACTCTGGTGCAAACGGCCAAAACAGCACTCAAGGATAGTGTTCGCATTGTCTGGGTTTCCAGTTCAGCCGCAGAGGTTTTGTCGCCTTGTCCCGCCATTGAGATCGATAACCTCGACTACAACAGGGATAGAATCAAGGAGTTCAAGTACGGCATCAGCAAGGCAGGCAATTATTTTCACTCCACTGAATTTGCCAAGCGACACAAAGCCGACGGCGTCATCAGTCTCGTAAGTCTCGGCGCAGTCCTGGCGTAGATGCGAAATGGACAACTGATTATAAATAAGGCATTGAATCCTGGAAACCTCTCATCAGAGCTGGACCGGCACATCACAGCGCTGATCCCGACGTTGTTCAGGAAAGCCACCACATATCCCGCTATCAATGGTGCTTACACTGAATTATTTGCGGCGCTTTCTCCCGACGTGACGATTGAAAAGACAGGTGATTGGGGTGGGTTTGACCTTGTCTGTTGACTTTTGTGGATTGCTAACCAGAAGGACCTTAGTTATTCCATGGGGTCGATTTTATGCTATTCGGGATGACCTTGTCCAGGGCTCCAAGTCTCGCGAAGAGGGTGGCACAGGCCTCGCCGAAGATTTTTGGAGATGGACCGAGGAGCAGGTAGCGAAATACCTATGATGTACGCATACGAGCACTGAAAGAACCCATAGAGGTCAAACCCCTTCTAAGCCATGAACTTTGCTACTCATATCTCCACGAGCGAATCCAGCGATACGGCGAACTCAAGGTAGATGAAAGTGGCGAGTCATTGGTTCAGTTTCACACGTGCGGTGAGTTGGTAGCCATTGACGTCGTATACTGAAGAATATATTCAAAACTAAGTCCAGTAGGCATAGTGACAAGTCTTATATGCAAAAAAATGATATGTACATCAAAAATGGTCCTTTTCTCGCCTCAGAGTCCAAGTGAACGACCAAGCCACCTCATCCACGAGCGCCGTCAATGACAGCGGCACTTAGTTGCGCTTCTGGAGGTTGCGGCGGCGGCGGCGGCGGCAGGCGGGCTTACCACCAGCAGAAGCAGTCGGGGTAGGGCTGGAGGCGGGAGCGGACGGCTCCTCAGGGACAACCGGGGCAACGGGGGTAGAGGGGACAGGAGTAGCGCTGGGGGTGGTGGTAGGGGCCGCGGCGGAGGGGGCGTCAGCAGCGGGGGCAGAGGGAGCGGCAGCAGCTGGGGCAGAGGGAGCGGCAGCAGCTGGGGCAGAGGGAGCGGCAGCAGCGGGGGCAGAGGGAGCGGAGGAGCCAGAGCCAGAAGATCCAGAGCCAATAGCCTTGGTGATTTCACCATTCTCGATGTAAACACCAGAGAAGTAGAAGTCCTCGGTCTCATCGGCGTAGCCTTCACGGGGGAGCTCGAGGACACCGACGTGGAAGTCGGCACCGTTGCTAGAGGCGGAGGCCGGGACGGGGGCAACGACCTGGGTCAGGGGGTCGGAGCCGGTGGAGTGCCAGAAACCGACGGAGCCACCATCGAAGTCGATCTCGTAGACCATGTTGTGCCAGGTGTCAGCATCCCAGTTGACGCTCCACTGAGTCTTGCCGCCGACATCCCAGCGGAGGAGGGGGTCCTCGGTGCCAGTGGCGCCGCTCTGCCAACCAGACTTCATCTCAACAAAGTGGCTCTCGAAGAAGGCGATCTGGTGCTCCTTGTTCAGGGAGGGGGCGTTGGTAGCGCTGCGCTTCAGGGAGAAGTGGTAAAAGAGCTTGCCCTTGCCGATGGCGGCGGTGGTCTGGGGGATCAGCTCGGTACGGCGCATGGTCTGGCCGTTCCAGAAGGAGGTGCTGGTCAGGGAAATCTTGACACCCTGCTTGGAGCCCGTGTCGGCCGGGTTCTTGAAGTCCTCGGAGAGGTTGACGTATTCGGTGGTGGCGCCGGAACCGTGGATGTAGTACTGGTAGGGGCCGGTCTGGGTGCTCCAGGACCACTTGTCGAGGTCAGTGGCAGAGGTCATGTCATTGAAGCGACCATCCCAAAGAATCTCGCCCTGAGCGCGGGTGGCCAGCAGAGCCGCGCTGGCGATGCTCCAAGTGAACTTCATTTTTGCAGTAAGGAGGTGTCTGAGAAGACTCGATGGTTTGACTTTGTATAAGTGAGTGAATGCCTAAACCGACCGGGCGGCTTGGAGAAAGCTTGAATTGTAGAATTTGAACGAATGGAAGGTTTCGAAAAGAAAGAGAGGACGCAGGTCGCAGCAATCGATGCCTTGGCCTTGCTTCAGGAAGTTCAGTAAACGATAGAGAATGTAGCTAAGCTCAACGGAGACGAAGCAAAGGGGTACGCGTTGGCGTACCGGCTCCTTTATGTAGGTAGGTCCCTGGGCTTCCAGAGGTCTGCCCCCCTCGAGACGACTTTTCAATCCATGTTCGCTCCGTGGTTCCTGGAAAGGAGATGACCCCGCAGGTTTAGCGGCGAGGAATAGAGTAGAAGGCTCCATTGGGGAAATGGGCCATGCAGAAGCACTTTGTTTCACGGCAAGGTCTCACGGTTCAGCAGATTTCCAAAGGCGTGCGGCGTGCCATTTGCCAGCTTTATCAAGCGAGGGCCCGTGAGTGGGTTTAAATTGCGGAGTTGTCCCTGACTTCAGGTGAGGCCGTGGTTGATGAGGCCACACCATATCCGTACATGTCCGTATCCGTATATGTGCGGCATGCAGGTCCCATGTTGCGGCGGCAAGGAGGGGCATCGCAAGAGGCAGAGGCTGCATCGGCCCGCAGCGAAGGGAGTCATGGAAATGCCAGAGCGCGAACAGCACAGTGAACTTGAATGGGAGAGCGGACCAACAGAGCCCTACGGGTATACAGTAGAGAAATGAACAGGGCGGCTGCTGGGCGCTTGATGTTAATGAAGGCGAGTCCACATCTCGTTTGCATCTTGTATAGATGACAATGCAGGGGGTGTTTAAAAGCTGAGAAAATTCGCGTTGTATCCGAGGTCGTGGCCCTCGTGGCCCAGAGCCCAGGCGAAGCTTCCCGTCTGCTGGTGGGAAATTTGGGTTAGGGGCTTGGGGTGGACCCTCTAGTCCGAATCGGGGCCATTTCCAAACAAGCCAGCTGCCAAGTGCCCCTTTTCGGCACAACCGGGAATACCCTTCTTGGGCCGCGGGCGTCCGCCGCGCGACATTCGAGTTCGTCCCAAAACTTAATTCCCAAAGCCACCGCTTGTCAAACTCCCACGGCTGCCACTGTCGGGTCGTAAGTTGTGGGCAACGGCATGGCGGTGGGAAGGGCTTTGTATGACGTGATGTGTTATACCCGGAATAATGTTTTTGGTTTCGGCTATCTCTCACCTCAAGGTAAGGTATTACCAAGGGTCAAAACCTATAGGTATGTCAAGAACTAAGGTGGCAGATCTCCCGAGGCCAGCATGCATACCCGGGCCCGAACCTCCGGAATGTACACAAGTCGCCCCAGCTTTCTCATTGGGGGGCTTCGCATCAGCTCTGATCGACGCAAGACAACAGTCGACATACAAAAGGGCCGTAGGAAATACCAACGCAATACATCATTTCTGGTCTTCTGGTACACAGCACTGACATGTAACCAGAAGCTGCAGCATCTCCATGAGTTTTCCACAAGCAACCAACCATCCGGTCATTTACCTTCAATTTATCTGTAAAGCCTACGTACGTACCTCTTCACGACCGAAGGTACTCACAGACACTCTTTCCCCAACGCGATGCCCCTTTGTATACCCACATGCCAGGCGCATTGCCGGTCTTCAGACCTTCTATGGCATCAGCGAGCACAGGCCCGAACCCCTCCTTCTTCACCTCTTCTATAGGCGTGAGATACGTCTTGAATGAGAACAGGATCGCCCCGGTCCTGGGAAGCCTGGTCAAGGTTTGTAGTTCTTGGCGTAAACGAGCCTATACGTTGTGAGTTCCTAGGCAGATGATGCATGCAAGGTTCAAGACGGTCATCTCACCTTTGTAATGTCAACATCCTCATCCTCTTCTGTCTTGTCGCCTTCGTAGATATGCAGATTGCCTGGACTGAAAAGGTTGTCGTGGGTCGAGACAGACCACTTTGTCACTCATCAGCTGGAAGCCTCGACATTCGGGAACGCAAAGACTCACGTTCATCCGCTTGAAGCTCTTTCCGACCTGCAATCGACTGAAGAAACGTTCCATGCTGCCACCAATCTTTTCGTATGAGGGTACGGGCGTATGGATGTCCTTCATCAGCTTCCCTAGCTTATCGGAAGGGTCGAATCCGGCGGGATGACAGCAAACGAATGCCACAGCACGATGGCCTTCTGTTGTCTCAACCAGCAAGAACATATCGTCTTCCACGGTCTCTCCCAGAGCCTTTAGCGCAGCCACCGGGTCCTCCGGCGGCGTGAGGGGTAGCGATGTGTTCGTGACGTGATTATGGAATTCAGTCATGTCTTCGGATAAGGAGAACATAGTTGGATACCGTTTTGGCAGATACTCTGACAGCAGATAAGTCCAGGTCTCATGGAGAGCAGGTATGCCTTCTGGGACAGCGCCCGCCACCATTGACCTATGCTTCTCTAGGATTTGCCGACGCTCAGTAACTCGTTCAAGATAGTTGTTATCTATAATGATGAGGTCTTCAGGAGGGCTTGCGTGGATGGCTAGGGTGATTCTTCGTCAGAACCCAAGCGGGATTACTTTAGTTAGTGACGGCGTACCCATGGTAATATGATAGACTGGCTTGAATGGCCGGTGCTTGGCAGGATCAACATTCTGCCAGTCAAAATCTTTCAACGGTTTTATATCAGTCTTTTCATCTGACTTCTCCTGGGAGCTGGCGACCGCAAGCTTTGCCTTTGTCGTAGTCAGACGTCTCATTGAAACCTTCCTAGATTGAAAAGATCTCAGACGCACCTTTGTGGCATATCGCCACTTCCATCTCCAAGCGGAAAACAGCAATACAGCTACAGCCAAAGCTGAGAGGAGGAACATATCGACGCAATGGAATAGCCTAGGATGTGAAGCCTGGATAGAAAGATGTTTGATGTATTGGTGAGATGGGATGAGTTGCATCGTTTCAGTCTGGATACCATCTGGTGACGTGACTCAGGGCAACACCCAACTTATACGGCGAGGATCCCTGATACAAGTCGAGGAGCCAAGAACAGACCGTTATCGGCCCATACAGTAGGGTACTACACCGCGTCCCCGCTAGCACTCTCTAAACTTTCCAAATCGTGAAATCCCGCCCAGGGCCGCGATACCTCTTTTGGGCAATAGATTGAGACTACCAGGCAATCGTCTGACCTCGATTGGCCCGGCCAATGAGGTTCGATATATTTAGTCCATAAAAAGAGACATGCAACAGCATTCCGTTCTCTCTGAATGTGCACCAATGTATCAAGACCCAGCGTAATTAGCTTATCAAGCACACGCCGTCGCATTCTACTGCCGGTAGATCTCCCACCTGGGGATGTTGTGTTGAAGCCAATGCTTCCCCGCAAATGGCGCTTGCCACCCACAGAACGACTCTAAGTCCATTTGATGATGTCGTCTTGTAAGCCCGCGATATCAGCTTTTTGAGGATTTTGTACGTAACAGAACTTGAGCAATGTAATGCTTCAGGCACCGGCTCGACCTTCCTACTTCAGCCCATTCCCGGAGAGAGGGGATTTGCATGGCCGCGGCGCGCAGACACCTAACCAAGAATCAATCCCAGTCTCCCAACCACGAGTCTATGAGAGGTGATCGTGAGATCTTGGTGCAGCTAGCTTCTCCACGTTTCCTCGCACCTAGCATTCTGCATGTTCCCGTACGTATTTTTTGTTAAACCCACCACAATAAAAGAGATAAGTGCAGGTCAGAAAGACCCCACCATCAGGCCTTGAGTAGATGGACTCGCAAAACTCTGGTCAATAAGATAAAGCATAACGCTGACGATGTGGAAGTAAACGCCGGATCCTTTCATGACTGTGCGTGACTCCACCCCGCAATCGGACTTTGGATGCCGACAATCGATAAGACGAGTTCAAATGAAAAAGACAACGATACCTCCCCAAGCTTACTCATCATTCTTCATGGTATCCGTAGGGTACGGATTACGGAGACCTTACCTACCTTAGTACGTACCTAAGCTAGCTAGGCTCTGAGGGCTCATAAATCAGCAGAAGCTTATCTCTTCAGCTACGTAATCACGCAAGCTCCCACAGGGGTGAGCTCCTCATTCGACTCCACGCTCTCACCATCATCCATGTCATTGACCAGTCACATTGCCGAAGTCGCGACCGAGGGAAGCGATCACTCCCCCGTGTGCCCCTCCAGATAATCCAAAAGCTCATTGTCGCCTGCGATGTCTGCGCTCTGGGTTTGAAACGCCGGCCGATAATCCAGCCGAAGCGTCAGTCACCTTCTTCATTGGGTCAAGGGCTCTCCAAAGGAACTCAATCCTGAGAGGCTTGGAGCCAATATAACGTATCACTTGCTCCTGGAGTCTTTAGCATCTTTCTTTCGTTCCCTTTGCTTCAAAAAAACATCAAAACGTGGTTGTTATGGATTCGGAAAAGAGCGGCATGCTGCCGCCGTACAGCGCCGCGGAACTCCCAACGCCCTCGGGCCCCCGGCGTTCGTCTCATCACCACAAGCGATGGTTACGACCAAGACGCAGCATGAAGCTCGTTGTGGGATGTCTTGCGTTCATTGCCTTTGCTCAATGGAAACAGCTTTCGATACTGCCTTCGCGAGGGCCATCCTCATCCCTCTCCGCGGAGCATTTACAGCAGGACTTGGCGACCTGCGCGAAGTTGCGACACAAGCCACAGGATCCAATTGGCCTCGGTCGAGAGAAGAATGCCCGTTACGTCGACGGTCAGCGTCCAACACTCATCCGCAATGCCACAATCTGGGTTGGCGAGGCCGTCGAAGGAACATCCTCAGAAGACGCGCGCGCCGGCAAAGGTTATTCGTGGATCACTGCCGACGTCCTCATTGATTACGGTCTGATTCAGAAGGTCGAGGCCGACATTTCTCTCAGCTCTCTTCCCAAGGACATCCAGATTTGGGATGCCAAGGGCCGCCAATTGACCAGTGGCATTATTGATATGCACTCCCACGCTGGTGTCGGTGCCCTGCCCGAGCTTAACGGCAACCAAGACGTCAACGAGCTTTCCGACGACATTACTCCCTACGTTCGTTCGATCGATGGGCTCAACCCCCTCGATCCACAGATTCAGGTTATCAAATCTGGCGGTGTTACTACTTCGCTCGTCTTGCCGGGCTCTGGCAATAACATAGGAGGCGAGGCCTTTGTCATCAAGCATGCTGTTGGCAAGCCCGATGGTCGCACCGAGTTCTCCGCAGAGGATATGCTGGCTGACCCGGATCGCAACTGGCGGTACATGAAGATGGCATGTGGAGAGAACGCGAAGCGCGTGTACGGGAAGATCGGACACAGCCCATTCTCACGTCTCGGCGAGAGCTGGGAGTTCCGTCATGCTTTTGAGCAAGCAGCGAAGCTCGTGCAAGAGCAGGATGACTGGTGTGCGGCGGCCGACAAGTTTGGCGTCGAGAGCCAGTCGTCATACTTGCCCCAGGATCTCAAGTGGGAGAGTCTCAGTGCTGCCCTAAGAGGCCAAGTGCACATTAACACCCATTGCTACACGATACCTGATTTGGAGGCATTCGTTGACCACACCAACGAATTCAAATTCCCAGTGCGGGCCTTCCATCATGCTCACCAGACCTTCTTGGTTCCGGAGGTACGTCTTTCTATCTTCGCTGCTAGCGAGTACAACACTAACAAACTCACGTAGATCTTGAAACGCGTCTGGGGTGGTCGTCCGCCTGCTTCTGCGCTGTTTGCCGACAACATGTACTACAAGTCTGAGTCGTACGTTGGCTCCGAGTACGCTGGCAAGATCCTTTGGGAAAACGGTCTTACCCCCGTATACGTCAGTGACAACCCAGTTTTGAACGCCCAGCACGTTCTCTTCGAGGCTGCCAAGGCTTATAGATACGGCCTCCCCTACCATGCAGCCTTGTCCAGTGTGACATCTGCACCTGCCGAGTTGTTGGGCTTGGGCCAACGAATTGGGAAGATCAAGCCCGGGTTCGATGCCGACATTGCCGTGTGGGACAGCGATCCTCTGAGTGTTGGTGCTGCGCCCGCGCAAGTATGGATTGATGGAGCTGCCCAGTTCTCTGATCCTTTTGAGCTCAAGAAGCCTCTTGAAGGCCCCATCTCTCCAGACCCCAAACTGGCCAACACTACCGAGGACATCATTGATCTCAAGGAGGTTGTTTTCACAGGCGTTTCCAATGTATGGCTGTCGGGAGAGGAAGTTAGCACGGCCAACGACGAGACGGTGAACGTTGTCTTCTCCAACGGCGCTATCAAGTGCATTGGTGCCTGCGCGGAGGAGGTCGCGGCTGCCAAATCCTCGTCCATGAAGGTTATTGACCTGGAGAATGGCCACATCACCGAGTCTTTCACCGCGTTCGGTTCCCTCATTGGTCTCAACGGAATTGACAACGAGGCAGATACGGACAACGGCCGCAACCCCACTGGGTTCAGTCGTGGTCTCGACGGCCTTGTGCTTGACAATAAGAAGCTGCACGTGGCTAAGCGATACGGCGTCACCAAGGCCATCTCGGCGCCCAAATTCACCGGCGGATTGACGCATTCTGGAACCAGTGTTGGTTTCAACACCGACGCCAAGCACGCGCTCGAGAAAGGCGCTGTCTGGGCTGAGGATGTCGCTGTCCATCGTACACTGACTCTGGCCGCGAAGACAGGCGATAACCCCTCGATCTCTAGTGCCATTGGCGCGCTCCGACACGCTCTCTTGGAGGCAGTCGCAACCAATGACACTGGATCGGATCCTTTCTCGGAATCGGCCTACCTCAAGAAGGTGGTCAACGGGAAGCTGCCCTTGGTCCTGACAATCCACAGTGCCGATGCCATTGTCGCCGCCCTCAGAGTCAAGGCCACGGTCGAGGAGGCGTTGGCTGCAAAGAGTCATTCATCGGAGTCTCCCAAGCTCCGTGTTTCCATTATTGGAGGCGCGGAGTCCCATCTCGTCGCTTCAGAGCTGGCTGCTGCCAGTGTCGGTGTGCTTCTCGCACCATTCCAGTCATACTCAACTACCTGGGACCAGAGACGTTCTTTGACCGGCGCTCCTCTCACGAACGGTACCGCTATTGATACCCTCATCGACGCTGGAGTCATCACTGCCATTGGTTTGGAGGAGGATTGGTTGATCCGCGACTTGGGACTGCTGGCCGGCATTGCGCAGAAGAACGGAAATGGTCGGTTGAGTGAAAAGAAGGCCTTGGATCTGGTTTCCACCAACGTCTACAAGATCCTCGGCATTGAAGAGTCGCAGTCGAAGAGCGCCCGCCACTTTGCTGTGTACGAGGGTAGCCCACTTGAGATTGGGGGAAGAATTCGTGCTGTCAGCAGTGGCCGTGACACTGTGTCTGTTTTCGTGTGAACACCTACGCATCTAAATCAGGTACTTTTTGTTTATCGAAAGGCCCATTAATGACTCGGAAGGTGTTCCGATCCTGGTTCCGAGCCGCGCGGGGAAGATAGTAATCCAACACATGATCGAAACGCGTAACGGCTCACTTGATGACGGAGAATGATATTGAAAATGCCCCATTGGAAGCTCATTATTAAAATGATTAGATACAGCTGAATCAGCTCTAGCCGTCCTGATTTGCCGCAGGATGGTGCTGATATTCCTTTGACAAAATGGTCCCGCGCGGGTATTACCAATCTGATCCCGGACGGAGGCGATCTCGGCATATCACCCGTTGACCAATGAGAAAGACCTAATGTGAAACCAACCAAACAGATGCTCTTGCTATTTGAGCTCCCTAGTCCCCCACCATCCGATCGGTTAGTAAGGGTCCAATCGCAGCTAAACAGCACCGGATGACAACAGAAACAAGAACTCTATCTTACTTGACCAGGACTCTGCGATTCCCGAAAATTAATTGGGCCAGCAAACGGAAGTATAGACAATCATCCACAATGACACGCGCTGCAGCAGTTTGTGTGTCGCACGGCGGAGGTAGCTGAGCCCCTTTATAGACCCCAGAAAGCTCCAGCACTGACTTACACACCCAAGGTCCCCTGCCTGTCTTAGGAGACCCTGGACACGCTGCCTCAGCCGCATCACTCAAGAAGCGCGTGCCCAAGATTCTGAAGCTCAACACACCAGACGCACCGAGAGCCATCGTGGTTGTAACGGCACATTGGTCTGAAGGTGCACCAACCATCTCATCGGGAGATCGCCATGAGTTGTACTACGACTATGGCGGCTTCCCGCGGGAAGCATACTCACTCAAGTATCCCGCCGCGGGATCCCCAAGTATCGCACAAGAGTTAAAGCAAGCTCTTGAGAAGGAGGGTCTTTCACCGGTGCTCAACTCACGTCGCGGTAAGTCGAACCGATGGATGGCATACCCGCGGCAGTTGACCTCGACTAATACACAATTCAGGTTGGGATCATGGCGTCTTCATTCCACTCCTGCTCATCCACCCTGCCGCCGACATTCCAGTGATCCAGCTTTCAGTACTCGCCTCCGAGGACCCTGACGAACACTTTCGCATGGGTCGTGCCCTCTCGGCCTTGCGCGACTCAAACGTTGCCGTCGTTGGCTCAGGGTTTGCTTCGCTTCACGACATGGGAAAGCTGCGATCCATCATGCTGGGAGGAGATCCGGCAACAGGAAAGAGGATCGGAAAGCAGGTTGATGAGTGGAACAAGGAGCTTACGGATGCCGTACTCCTAGAGAAGCGCGAAGACCGTACAAAGGCGCTGTCCAACTGGCGCAAATTCTCCCACAGCTACGAAATACACCCTCGCTACGGTGCTGAGCACTTCATGCCTCTACTGGTATGCGCAGGTGCTGCTGAGGACGAGGTTGGCCGGGAGTACAATGACGACTTCTATGGCGCGAATATCAAGACATACTATTGGGGAGATGTACGTGTCTGATTATTCTAACTAGCACTTTATTCCATCTATATGCCCATACCGAAGCGCCAGTTCCTGTCCGCATCTATCCCAGCGAATTGTGGAGACGGCGAGACACTGTATCTGCGCCCTTCTATCCCATAATACATTGACTCGTCACATCATGATTCTTTCAATGTTCTCCTGGCCAAGAACCCCGACGCCCAATGCTGATGGAAAATAATACAGTCCTCCAAGTGGAATAGCCCCCGAACATCCTCCAATTCCGTCCAAGTGAAACATATTTTATGAGCGCAAAGAACACAAAAAGTGGTGTAAAACATTATGGATTAGGGGCCATGGTATAGACCGGTCAGATAAGTCGTTAGAACTTGCCTCCAATGCCCATGGCATCGACAACGTGAGAGTCTTTTTCGACGACCCAGCCGGTTTGCACGTAATTGGAAAGCCAGCTGACCTCACGTCCGCGGTGGCCATCGCAGTCACGGCATCCACGTCTCGCCATCTCGAGGCCGGTGACACCGTCCATGACGCCGCTTCTGCCGCCGACAGTCGCTCCCAGACCGGTCCAGCTGAGACGGCGACTGTCTTTGCGGGATCGGCGTGTCTGCGCGTGGTTTGCCATGGCGGCGAGCTCTCGTTTCTCGGCAACGTCGCGGTCAATCATCATGACATAATCGAGGATGCTTCTGGGTGCTTGAGGCGATGAAGGATCGGGAAAGAGAGCCGAGAGGTAGTCTGTCAGAAGCATCACGGGGCGTTGGTCGGGAACCCAGTGGCCAGAGGGTTGGGGAACCTGGTTTTGAATCACAAAAACGCCACCGCAGAAGCGGCCGTCAAGCTTCTTCTGAACAGAACGGAGCACACCCATCTGCGCAAATGGGTCGTTGGCATAGGCGAAGTGCTCGATGTGAGGACCGCGGTCTTCGACCACAGCGGTGGATCCATCGTCAAAGCGTGTAACTTTTCGGCTGGTTTCTCCAACAGGGATGACGAATTCTGAAGCCGCGGCGCCAAATGTGTAGATCTCGAGCTTAGAGAGCTTTTCGGCCTGGATATCGGAGCAGAGACGGGCGAGAACGTGTGCAACGGGGAGAGAGCCGTTGTTGTGAGCGAGGACAACGACACGGTGAACGGCGCCGTCAAGGAGTGCTGTACGGAGCTCGGTGTAAAGGGCGCGCGAGGCCTGAGTCTCGAATGGGAAGCACCGCTGGATGGCGAGGAGGAGCATGTCGAAGGGGAGGCCGTAGGTTGCCATCTGAATGCCGCTGAAAGAGCGGCCGAACAAGCGGGCGAGACGAGGAATCGTGCATTGCGTGAGGTGGGTTGAACTTCGTGGTTGTCAGTTTCTACGGAGTCGTTGTGGATGAGGTGAAAGAGGGGGGAAACTCACCTCGTACCCATGCCGCCAATGAAGATCCATCTCTCATTATCATCGTCGATATCTGTTGTGCTGTTCCCGAACTCGTCACAGCTGGCCATGACTTCGTTTCCGTTCATCAACCAACTCAGACCCAAAACCATGCTCATCGAGATTCCCAACCAAGCTCCGAACAAGATCCCCGGAAGAACGATGAACAACGGGATAGCGAGTGTCACGATCCCGACCTCAACAATGGCCAGGCTGAGTTGGACGACGATGTCCTTGAGGTGGCTCTTAGAAAGGTGCTGGCGGTGGTTGGCGACGTGTGTTCTCAACGAAGCCATCAGACCCGGCATCATCTGCCACATTTCTCGTAGGTCTTCGTGAAGCAAAGGTAATGTCGGCTTCTGGGCTAGTGGCACGGTTCCGCAAGCTCCATCGATGAGTGGTGGGATATATGTTACTGAAGGTCCGCATGTCTTGATCGGTCCGCATGTGCTGTTCCTTGGTGATGTGCGGGGTGAGCCGGTGGGTGATTGATACGACGGTGATCTCGCCAGCCACGGCATGACAGGCGAGGTTGTTGGAGATCTTTTTGCTGCTATGAACGGCATCGGAACAGGCTCTTGGAAGAAACCAAAACGCAGGGCGAAAGAAGGATATAGAGAGACGGGTTGAGGTAGGTATGGAGCCAAAGAGCTTGGAACGAATGCAAGGGGGTCCGATCAAGAAGTTAAGGTTACACCCATGAAGATTCACATGCAACTGGGGGTTCTTTTAATCTTCGTTGCGTTGTTGTTGTTGATGTCTCGTCGTTCATGCTAGATTTTAGTGCTTGCTCTCCCTTATCATTCCTCTTGCCGCTCGGGCAATCTTGTTGCAGACACCGGCGCAGAGCGCTTGTTTGGTGGCGCATTCCGCGGCCAAATTCGCCTCGTGCCTTGACCATCTGTTTAAGTCGTGCCCTATTTGAGCCAGAGTGAGAAATTGGTTTAGGAAGTTTGTTTGGGTTCTCGTCTGGGCCGGTTTGTTTACTTTCGAGTTCATCCCACTTACAAGAATTGCTCCGAACTCACGAGGGGCTCGTCCGACATTGTCTCCAGAGACGCTGATTGGTGATGTCTTGCAGGATGATCCGGACGCACGAATGGCAGAACAAGTAACCTCCCAGGCTAGTTTCCATCAACCTTGCAGCCTTCGGAGCCCCTGCAGCGGACCGTCGATTCTCGTCCGAACTCTGAGCAGAATTAAGATGGCATTGATCACCCGGGCTACTCGGGTTCCAAAGCCGGGTCTCTCCCGTTGCAGCTAGATGCTGGGGTCATGTTGGGCATTCCTTTGGGATGAATGGTGCACCGAGCAACAAACTTTCACGTTGCAGCCCTAGGAGAACGAGGCGCACAGACGGGCCGTTTCTTCTGCTCGTCCTTCTTCCACTAAGCCGCTTGGGTTCAGGGTTCTGGTGAGCCTCTGGGGAACTAAAAGGCGAGAAGGCGCTGGACTGGAAGACGATATTTTCGTCTAAGCTCTAGGTGGCGGCCCTTAGCCGCGAGCTCCCTTGCATGTGAAGTTCTGACGTAAGTTCGTCTGGTCTCCCGCGCCCGGCAGAGCACGTTTTTTCTTTGTGCCCGGATGTTGAGCTTCGGTCTCCGATGGGGCCGTGACTCGGGGCCTAAGACTTCGGTAGAGCTTCTGCCCACCACTCAGCGATTGGAACTCGCGGGAGGACGGGAATCTCTGAAACACTAGACAATGCCAACTGAGGATTGACCCCCAACTGATAGCGGATTCCCAAACGTTTCCAGATCCCAATCTTCCCTTTCGGTAAGGTATCTGCGGGTTAGGAATGGAAACACTAATAACCCCAGAGATATATGGGTCTCGAGACACTCGGAGACACTCGACAACGCATGTCAACGCAGCGCATCCACGGTGATCGCATGCATTCTTGGGCAAGCGACCCCCAACCAGTATCTTCTTCTAAGTACAGAGACAGCTCACTTGAGATAAAGGTTTGCTTAGAATAGGAGGATCAGTTTGAGCTTCTAGTCCAGGAGGTCAACGCCCACTTTAAAACATGAGGCGCTCAGTTTCTATACTGGAAGGATTCTAAGCACGGACTGGACGTGGCTGCGGCTTGCCAGAGGCCGTCCGTTATCCGTTTATCAGTGATGGACTTGAAACTGTTTCTTTGAGAGTCCCTGTTGGGTCGCGACCTGGCTTGTAGACTTCCGTTTATCAACTGGTGGTCCTGTGGCATTGGACCTTGCATGGTGGGGTGGAAGTATGGTGGCCAAGCCGGCTCACGCGAGGCGTCTTTGAAGATCTTGTCTAGCCTCCGTGAAGAATGCCATTGTATGTGGCAAAGAGAATCAGCGACGCCAATCGGCACTCGCAGCCACATATTCATCATACCCGACGAATGCGACGCCAATATTTCAGATACGGGTTGCAGCTCCAGCAACCACGTTGTCAGAGACGACACTCCACGAGTATGGACCAAAATTACGTGTAACAGTATTCATCCGCTACTGAATGAGCCAATGTCTACCGAGAAACTTTTGCACTCGGCTGTCTCCAAAAATCGAAAACTTCGACACAAAGACGGTGAAATTTTGACTTCCTGAAGGCTGACACTCTCCGTCAAGGCATCACCCTAGTCCCTGTGATCCATCCGATCTCGAGATCGTCAAAAAGAAGCCCAGGTCAGGCTAGATTTTTTCTTCTGCATTATCTTTGCATTAATTTATTTAATTCTTCACATGAGCCCAAACTTCAACTCTTCGATACGTGGTGCATGAACCAATATGGCATTCTGTAAATACGTAGAGAGGCGTTGCTCAACTGTAAAGAGGCGATGCTCAACAGGAAAATGTAGTGCTGCATTCACAAGTGTCTTCCGAGATCACATGTACAAAAGACAATTGACAAATTGGGTTCTGTTCTCAACGCAGAGCGCTTCTGGACGGCCAATTCGACAATGGAATTGACATCACTCATAACGACGATTGGGATTATTAAACCACTCGGGTCAGCAAGTTACGTGTTACAGATTAACTAAGAAGCAAAAGACCATTGGCGGAAAGTGTAACGATATTAAGGTCATTTGGACGAGCTGGTAGTTTCTTGGCCGATCAGCACCAGACATTTAATATACACCATGCAAACTTGGATCTTGGCTCAACATCCTCCCTGGCCACGTGTGTAGCTAAGCTTGGTAGATCGAATTGCGACATTATTTAGAGCCCCAATCTGATCCGCGATAAGACCAGCACCAACTTGCAACGGCGAGTGATGTTTCAATACGCGTAATCAGTAGCTCACCTTGTAATCTTGAAGGATATCCGCACTAATTGATTGGTACGCTGCCGCTTGTCCACTGGAGTTGAAGTCTACTTGGTATCATCAGGGGCTACTGAGTGGGTTCGAAGAATCACGGCATACAATAGCACCGGGGAATGTACACTTTGTAGGCTCAAGTGGGCAGTCGATGCCGGACAGTAGTCAGTGGAACTTGGAAGAGACATTTTCTTTTGCAAGTCACTTGAAGGTAAAACGCTGAAATCTTGGTATATGCAGGCTTAATGCTATTCAAGCTACTATGTACAGGAATACAGAAGGTGAGGTTGTGTTCCAGAAAAGTGAAACTCACATGCCTCTAGAACCGTGCACCGGGCAAGACGCAGTAAGCCTGGATTGCACATCTGGTGTCCATGATAAAACCCAACTCCAACTTGTGACTCGTGGAACCATCATGGTTGAAAGAACCATCTATGACCGCTAAGTCGCACAACTCTCTCGTCTCTCTTCCCAGCTTCACAGCGCTAGACGAATTTAGTGAGCAGAGCGGCGGGCCTTGCGGGAGCGGCGGCGCTTGCAGCCGGCGCTGGGGGCCTTGGAAGGAGTAGCAACCGGGGCAGCAGCGGAGCTGGAGCTGGCAACGGGAGCAGCAGAGCTGACGGCCGTGGCGAGAGTGGTGGGCTGGGCAGCAGCGCTAGAGGAGGCGACGGGAGCAGCAGTGGTGGTAGCAGCGGGAGCGGCAGAGGAAGCGGGAGCAGGAGCGGGGGAGGTGCCGGAGCCGGAGCCACCGGTCCAGACCTCAGGACCGGGAGCCTTGTAGGTGGAGGCGTCGGCGCTATAGAGGTTGAAGTGAATACCGGCGTCGGAGTACTTGTAGCCGGTGGTGAAGTCAAAGTTCTGGGGAGGGACATCGGAGCCGGTACCAGTGATCTCGAACTGGGCGCAGGCGGGGTAGAACTGGGCACCACGGGCGGGGTTGACGTCGTAGGTGGTATCGGACTCGTGAAGGGCAATGATCTCCTGGCGAACAAGGTACTTGCCGGCCTTCAAGGTGGCAGGAATGGTGACCTTGGGAGACTGGCCCTTGTTGGCAACAAGGGTCTCGACAGCCCACTTGCCGTTCTCGTAGGTGGACTCCTGGATCTTGGTCCAGATGGCTTCGGCACCGTTGCCCTCGGTGTAGGGAGCGATGTAGGTGCTCACGGGACCCTTGTGTGAGAGGTCGATGATGTCGTCACCACGGCTGTTGTGGTACCACTCGAACTGGAACTCATCGCCAGCAGCGGCCTTGACGAAGCCGGTCTGAGCCTTGGCACCGTTGACGTTGCAGACAATGCTGGGGCTGGTGATGTCCTTGACGGGGTTGTTGTTATCGGGGGAACGGATGTACTTGGTGGTGCCGGTACCGGTGGAACGGCCGTCGCCCTGGTCCTCGCCGTTGACCCAGACGTCGATGGTAAGGGTGTGGGCGGCTGAGTAGCCGATGAGAGTGGCAAGAGCCGCGGCGGTGAATGAGAACTGCATTGTGACGGTGATGGGGAGTTTTCGGTCGAAAGTTGGTTGGATCTGAAGTGAAAGTGATGGAGGTTGTGCTTTGTGAGCGTGGGCGAACGTCTAGTTCGTAAATGAGCGTATGGCACAGCCAACAAGAGAGAGACTTGAGTACAGGGAAAGAATGACACCGGTGTGATAATGAGGAGAGAAGTAGAAAAGAGGTAAAAGGGTTCAGGAGGAGTAGGATGAGGGAGTTTTATAAGACGTAGGTGTACGTTGTTGCGGTAGTTGATAGTTGGACCCCCGTCCACAACATCTTCCAAGCCGTAATCCATCTTTCCTGCTTCAATCTCGAATCGTCTACGCCCATCTCCGACCCAGACCCCATCTCACCGCACTAAGTCGAGGTAGGCAGCCAATCTGGGACTGCATCTCGCCTCCTCCATCGCGCGGCTAGAGCTGGCGATTCCGTCAGTTGCCCAGCAGGCCAGTCTGCCAGGGCCCCTGACTCCCCAAGTGGTGTTAGTCCGCAATACAAAGTATTGATGTGGACTCGTGGAGGACAAGGGTTTGCCCTGGCAGCGCGTACGGACAGACGACGATGGAGTCTTTCGTCTCATCCTCCTCTCCTGCCAAGAGCCGCAGGAACGGTGCAAGACGTAGAGAATGAGATGAGGCTAATGGGTCCGTGGGGTGTTCTGCCCATGGATAGCGTGTTGGATCCCGTCAGGCCCTGTCAAGCCCTGCTGTTCGGCCGCAACCGAGGATGGATTCATTAATGAAGCCGTTGCGATTAAAGTGAGCTTGGGGACGTGAAACACGCAACCAGGGTGGCAGTGGATCATGATGAGGCCCCTTGCAGCGGCGCGGCTAACCCAAACAACCTTCTTGGGGCTTGATTCCCGGGGTAGGGGCGACTTGAAGACCCGGTCGAGTGGCCACACCCTCCTGGTCTCCGACAGGGTAACCCTCGAGGGGCCATTCCCAAGCTGGGCAAGCACTCGGTTGAGGAACATGGTCGAACATATGGAGACGTTCTCGTTGGTGGCTCACTACCTATCCGTACTGGTGGACAAGAACCACTTGACAGTTTGCCAACTTTTTTGTCAGGGAAGTGACATTAAAGTATAATGCAGAAGAAAGCAGATAATCGCCCAGTTTCAGGTCGTTGATGCACGACGCAACGCTTGCATCGGCCATCACAAGTCGGCCAGGCACAGGACTTTCAGTCATCCATGGACGGATAGATTACAGGTCTGGGCCTTGACATGCCTGCTTTGTTTGGAAATCATTGGCCGATGAGAACTAGAAGTTGATAAAATTATACCTCATGTAGGTATTCGTAAGGGCAGCTCGCCCACCAGGTTATGAAAAGTCTACCCGGAAAGGCGAGTATTCTGGACAGAAAGGCATGTCATGATCGAGGAAGGTAAAAACCTGGAGAACGGTCGGAGAGCGAGACAGACAAAGAAAGGGATTGGTAAGAGATTTGGGGAACAGGAGAGAGGGAGAGAGACACCAGCGGAGATTATTGCGTGAAAACCGTGTCAGATCCGGGCCCGGACATGTACGTCAATCAATTAGGGATCGATTCTGGGAAGCTGGCTGGGCCGCTGGGGGGCTTCTGTGGAACCAAGCTGAAAAGTGAGGCCGGTCTCTTGGTCCGTCTCCCAAACTTACCATGAGCTCGTCTGTTTGATCCCAGCGACCTCTCGAGGTCGGTCGAAGTGGGGTGCCGTTTCTGTGGGTGAGAAACGGAAGCAGATGGCGAAAATGCGGTGACGATCATGGAATGTGTCTTTTAACGATCGTATGTTGCATGATCTCCATCTTAAAGGTCTTCACTATGACTCCTTGGCGACTGGTTGTGTGTGACGAGGGCCAGCAGTTGATAGATCGGGTCGCTCCAGTCATCAGAGGACCACATGTCCCCGTGTTCTTGGTAGCCGGCAGTGCCTATCCGTATTCAAGCATGTATTCGTAGGCGGGCAAACACGAAAAATCAGTCCTCGGGGCGATGAAAGGAATATGTGGGGAGTATGTTTGCCACTCGACTGAAGAGCAAAATCGATAAAAAGGGGCCAGCCCCAGGCTCGGGTAAACAGACCAGTTGGGTAAACAGACCAGTTGGGCTGTCGGCTCATGCAGTGGTGGAGATTAACTAGAAAAAATCATGCTGTGTTCGGGTGATGGGCCAACTCGGGGGTATGGCAAACTCATTTCGCAAGAACCTGGCAGATCCGCCCGGCGTTGGTGATGATGCCTGCTGACAGGACTGCGGCGGCATCGGAGTATTTGCGTCTGCAATTTTCTACCGTCCACCGCCCAATTCTTTGCGGTGTGAGTTAATAGGGGCGACCAAGGTGAGTATGAATTATGATTGTGCGCGGCCGGAAAGATTCCAGGCGGCGGGTCTGCTGAACAAACAACGTCCGCGGGTTCCGTGGTCGGGGGAGTTGTTCAAGTCCTTTCAACGCGACGTACGGAGTACTCTTACCCGTACTAAGACTTGCCTTTCGGGTTGGAACTGATACGTAGGTTTGTGGTATTAATCAGTTGTCGAAAATCTTCAGTGAGCCAAAGAGACACAAGCCTCAAGGTGCCCGCGTCCGCTGCCTGCGTCCGCGACGGCGGCTGAGGTTCGATGTGTGCCAGTGTAAGACATGGCACGGGGCTTGACAGCGCTTCTGAATCGAGCTTGTGCTAGATTGGCGATCGTGGCGGTTCCCAAAAGCAACGGCGTGTCTCTCTTACAGTTGCCCTCCACATGTCGGTTCTTGGCAGCGACAAGCCGCACCAAATAAACGAGGTCTGTCTTTCGTGCCGGTGGGACGTGGGATTCTGGAGTGGGATGGGCAGCGGGGTGGTGTCCAAACCTGGCAGGAACAAAAAAAGAAAAAGAAAAAGGGGTTGGGGAAGGGGAGGGGGTTTTTCGCACCTCAGTCCCTGTGTGCGTATCTGTATAAGGCACTGGGTCACGGGTGCAGGTGGAATATCACGGGTATCGTGGACGCATCTGGATGATTGACGTCGGGTGGGAAAAGAGGGACGAATGTGGTTGAAATAAACACCATGCACAAGAGCACCACTTCATATCCAGTGTTGTGTCTACCTTAACGATAGAGTTATGGGAAACCTTGAACTCTATTGAGGAAAGACCTCAGTTTGTCGGCAAAATCGGCCTCACGCGGCATGGGCATGCGTTGCCGGATTCCCACCTGCCACCCTGCCACCCTGCCACGCAACTTTGGTCTGCGGCAAGCTGCAAAGGTGAGCGGCCCGCGGGTGCGTGGCAGCGTGGGCGCCGGGCGGGCACTGCGCAGTCAATCATAGAAGCGGATCTTAAGGTTCAATCGCTGCTGGGCATTGCCCTGTACTCGCTTCAAATGGCTTTCTGCTGCTCGCTGCACTTTGGCTTTCTCTCTGTCTTGTTCTTGGCGGGTGCAGGGACATTTGTTACCTTAGGAACCTACCGCAGGTAGCGAGCGACTTGGAGACTGGAGATTTTTTTTTTTTTTTTTTTTTTTTTTTTTTGGAGAAGAGGCCCTGTGGATGCCTCTGAAGTATACCCCATTTATCAGGCATCAAAATGAGGTGCTCTTATCTTATCGCGGTCAGCACTCCTCCCGTCACAACGTCACCAAAGTAAATGTTTGTCGCATTCCGCCAGCAGCAAGCAGCAAGCAGCAGCGCAGTGTGCCTTTAACCACCCCACAAGTTGACTGAAATCACCAAACCAAAAGCCTCAGCCGGCCCTCCCTGCTGCCACCCTCGACCGATTACCGTTGATTGTAATGTCGGAGCCCCAGAAGCCTGCAACGGGTGCCCCCGAAAAGGTCGACGAGACCTACACTGAGAGCAAGGCCAAATTCGAAGGGTAGACCAACCTACCCGAGCAATCCGATTCCGCAACAATTTACCAACGGAGTCATATAGGAAAGCGAAGAGTGAATACTTTGACCCTTGCCAAGAGCTCGCGCAGAAGAGCATCAAGTGCCTGCACCGGAATGGGGGTGACAAGTCCATGTGCGGAGATTACTTCCAGTAAGCGCGTGCCTCTACCTTTGATCTGTTGCTCGGGATATATTGAGTCTTCTGCTCAGAAATGGTAGAAAGTGTAGGCTGACCTTATGTCCCAGAGCATACCGAGATTGCAAGAAGGCCTGGGTATGCCTCCCCCTCCCTCCTTCGTCTCATTGGCACAGCCAGCCATATCCTCAGCCACTAATTTCACTACAGTTCGACAAGCTTAAGGAGGAGCGCAAAGCGAAGGGTGCTTGGTGGTGATGCGGAGGTTTCCGATTGACGTACGCCTACGCCGACATGATATCGAGACGAACCGAACCGAACCGACCCAAGTCGAAAAAGCCCTTGCAAGGGCAAAAGGACACGTCCTTGTACATTTTGTAAAACAGCACGCACACATGGAATGGAGTAATTATATGTATGAGTAACTCGGTCATGTTTCAAGATAGATACCACCTCGTCTTGTTGGGTTTCAATGGTGTTGACTTGGATTGCCAATAGAGTAAACCTGCCTACCCTAAGGCCATGCATTACTGTTGAAAGATGGCCTTCTTTTAGATTGCACAGCTTTGGTGTGAGCTCTTGCTTGAATGCTGGACAAATGACGGGGGCTATGCCGGGCTAAAGTAGTTAATAATCCGAATGTCATCATGGAACCCATATCCAGCTCAGCCATCGATACGGGCCGGATCGGCACCGGGCTTACGGGGGCAATACGGCCGGGGAACGGCATCCCGCCATAAGTCTCGAGGTGATGTGGAGTCCCGGCTTTTCGGGAAGAATGTTTACCCGAGTAGCCAATCAAGCAACACAATCACCATAATCGTCTCACCAGCTCCTGCAGCACCTTACAGCACAGTGCCCCTCCAAAGCTGATTCTGCCCCGCCATCCGATCAGAAGCATCACCATGTCCTGGAACCGGCCTCAGCTGAGGAGCGGCACCGATCTGCAGTTGCAGTCGGCTTTCAACGACGGACAATGGGCCAACGCTATCCGTCTCGCTGAGCAGCGATTCCGGACCTTCAAAGATCCTTATTTTGAGGTTTGCTCTCGCCTCACCGCCCAATATGACCCAAAAATACAACTGACCATATCATCCAGGCCGTGAAGATATGCGCCGAAAGTCAGCTGGATTCACCTGTGGAGAAGGCGTCACCTTTCATCGCCATCCAAAAACTGGTTCAGGATCCGTCCGCCGTGAGGGACCCCGACACTCTGGAGTTGCTGGAGTGGGCTTCCGAAGAGTTTATTGGGGATCAGGACTTTTCCGAGACCTTTGGCCCCTTGAAGCTGCGCTATGTCAAAGCAAAGCCCAAGGAAAAGAACGGCGGCACGAGATGCCTTGAATCATGTCTGCTGCACTGGGACTTGATTAGTGCACAGCAAGTGAGTGGCCCTGAAACTATGAAGGATCAAAGATACTGATGCGCGCAAACAGATTGCAGCAGTGCTCGGCAAGTCGTTCCCGCAAGAGAGAAGTTTCCTGTTCTGGAATATCGCCATTACCCATCTGCTAGCAGTGAGTTTTTCATTCTTTCAAAAAGTCAAGGGTCGCAGCTAATTCCAAGCAAGACCAACGACCAATGTCCAGCAGGAAAGAAACAGCTCTATGGCATGCTCGCTCTCAAGCAAATGCAGCGCGCTGCGCAGTTTTCTGAACAGGTAAGAGTAGTGGCAGTAACTCAACACGGTAGCTGACCTAAGTGACAGAGCGGCGCCGAGAGGAAAGACGAAGTCTCCGACCGAGCCATTAGGACTGAAGAAGAGATACTCCTCTTTTACCGCATTCTTGAGGCCCATGGCTCTACTGCCGAGTGGGATGCGGCTCTCAAGGTTCCCATTCTCAATCCAGTCTACCAATTTAGGAAAGGACGTAAGGATTTGTTTTTGCAAGCTATAGAAGTTCTCGAGCGGAAGGGAGAGTGGAAAACTGTCTACGATCTGTGCAAGGATTGTCTCTCAACGACGGACGAGAATAAACAGTTGAGCCTTCTTGCTTGTGACTATGCTGTGTGGAAGAAATTCCTCAATGCAGCTGGCCAGATAGGACAAACTCAAGAGTGAGCCGTACCCCTTGCATTGATGCTGTCTTTCTCTAACGCTAGCAGGGCCTCGGCCGAGGTTTCCGAACTCATCGACCGTTTTCTGACTCAAGAGGGTGTACGGTCTATTTATAAGCGCAACGTCCGTCTGGCAAAGGTTGAAGCAGCATTCCTCTTTCCCAAGACCGCACAGCCAGGCTCTGATGCCATTTCGAACGAGTTCGAGGAACTTCGCCAATACATTGAAGTCGAGTGCGAATCGCCCGCCTGCTTCGACGACGTCAAGGGCTTTGCCGAACGACTTCCGCCACAAGAGAGCAAAGCACTTGCCTATAATTTTGTTATTGGGCTGTCTCAAGAGTCCCAGCACCCTGCGAGATCAGCGTCTGTGAAGGCACTTGCCTACAAGCTGCAGTACCTCGGACTGTCCTCAACTAAGAACCTCGTTCGTGTTCCGAACGAAGACGTCAAGGGACCAAATGATTGGAAATGTCTCATTTGCAACACTACGAACAAGTCATCTACCTGCACAGCCTGTGTTAAGAAACTCCTGGAGTCAACATTGAGCTTGTACTCTTCCCTGATCAATTCTTCCGAAATCGGCCAGCTCGACTGTATACCGGAACTTGCTATACTTGCAGCATCATGCTGTGTTAGGCTGAGCTGCGCCCACGAGCGTGGCACTGACAATCCCACATCGCCTTCAAGCAACGGCAGACCTGATCGCTTGCTTCAGGCTGCCCTCATCATCGAGGACCAGCTCACCAGAACTCCAAAACACACACGACTTACACTGGTTCTCGTGCGCATCTACCTTGTGCTTGGCTGCGCTTCCCGTGCTCGTGAAGTGTGGGATACCGCAGACGTCAAGCGCACCATTATCGATTCGCTCGGCCCCTACTTCTTTGATCGCCTGTCAACAGTTGCGCCAACGTTGGTCCTTCCGCCGAACAGACCCGAAGGGGGACTGATGCAGGGACTAAAATCACATTACAGGGCCTCACTCAAGCTGAGAATGCCTAGAAGGCTGGCTGATGCCTTTGAGGCTGAGAGCTACACCGCAATTCTCGACATCCCCAGTTACACTGAGCGGCTGAGGTCGAGTTGCACTTTGGTGATGGGATATGTAGAAGAATCTCGAGCTGCTCGAGCCCTGGGTATTCATAGTGACTCGGTATTTGATGAGCCGGCGATCGGTAAGCCATGTCCACTTTGACGCGGATTTCTTTGCAGTCCCTTGATGCTGATAGTCTATTTGCAGAAGAGATCACCGACAACTCTGTGCTGAACGAGGTTATCGACTACGGATCTGTGCCTAACTTGGAGGCTGCCTCAAGCCGGCCTATATACGACGTTCTGCGGCTGGGTCCTGATCCATCAGTATGTATTTCGCGAATGTGCTCGATTCCTTTTCTAACTACTTAACCAGAACCTACGGTCCCACTTGGCTCTCGCTGCAGAAAGATTCTTCGAGATCATGTCATTTAAACCGGCATCGTCTTACAAGGTCGCCAACGTCGCGCAGATGACAGCGGCAGAGCTGACCTTTGTCGTAGAATCCCTCCAGCGATTGGGCAACTCCCTTAGTAGATTCCTCCATACCCGCGGGAAGAATCTTACCCAGCAGGAGGAAACCTACTACGAAGTCATTTCTCTTCTGACTACCCTGATTCCCAGCTCTGTCTCCGCCAGTAGAAGCCCGCCGCCTCCCGAACTTCTTGCAAGCATTGTGTCGGCGATCAAGTCGGGTCTAGAGGTCCTTCGGGCGCAAGCGCTATCGACGCTAGCTGATGCAGAAGAGCCCAAGTTGCTACTGATGCTGGGCTCGCTCCATGGCCTGTCGATTCTTCGCGACGCTGCCGCTGCCGTGAAGCTGGCGACATCGTACATTGTGGCTTTCAACGGGCGCGAGAAGGAGAGGGACCGCTCCGGGCAAAGCAACGTGCCCAAGGATGTGATGGCTCAAGTCAAGGCTTTAGAGGCTGCAGCTGGCACTGCCTTTATAGAGGGTAAGGCGCGGGTTGCTCTCCTGAAGCAGGAAAGCAATACGCTGAGTGCCAAACTGAGCTCCTGGACGTTTGAGACAGAGTCTGGGGACGACTTGTCAAAACAGATACGTGAAGTGGCAGGATCTCACGTAAGCGTTTGGTCACAGCGGGTAACCGACAGCTGGCGAACGAATGTGAAGGGTTGGGAGTCGGTGCGATGGGAGTAGACGCCTCATTTCATTCATGATCCAGCCCATACCCAAATTTTTTTTTTTTTGGGAGAAGTTGGAGCTGGAGGCTATCACCCAAAAGCTCAGGAGCCCAAAATAGAAAACCGTCATGTCATACATCGCATGATTACTGCGCCGGGTATGCCTTTTCGTAGCGCTTGCCATCCCAAAACTCCACACAATGCTAGAAAGGCCACGCCAACGGCCCGGGCCTTCCGGTAGGGCGGTCCCAAATTCATCGATCCCGGTTGTGGTTGGGCGAATACCCTTCTTCCAAGTAACATCGAGCGGCTGACCACGCGTGAGTGCTCATGCTGTCTAGTTATATCCTGACTGGCTTCCCCTCCTCTTGTGTTGGTTTTTGCGCTGGAACTCTTCCTGCTCTTCACGCAGGGTCATCCAAGCCCAGAACCAGCACAACATCTCGAGGAACGCAAAGGTCAAAAAGACACGATTCTTGAGGCCGTCACCACCCCAACTTGAAGGTGTATAGCGCGGGTTATTCGTCTGGACCGAGGGATGGGCGAAGCGATTGCCGCCTTTCGAGGTTCCGCCGTAAAGGGGTGACGAAGGGCCGAAGAAGAAGGTGTAGACGACGAAACCGAAGGACATGACCATGCGAGTCGGTGCTAAGTTTTGCCTGTGAGAGGTTGCTCCAAATGATGGGCTTTGGATGGATGTGTCCCCTACCCTGTGTTCCCCAGTGGTAGATCAGCCAGACTTCTTCGGGCATGCTGAGGGTGACGAGGTCGCTGATGCCGAGTATCGCAAGCACAGCAGCGAGGAAAGCGAGGGCGGGAGATCTATTTTCGAAGCTTCGCGCATAGGGCTAAAGAGAAGATGTTAGCGCCCGAAAGATGGAAAAAATAATAATAATAATGAGAAATTTCGGAGCCATACCATGCCCATTGACTCGCCCAGCACGTACACCATCGCCTGGTCTGCGATGGTCACCGGGTTTGTCATGAAGAAGAATGCGAGGGTAATATGGAAGAGTGACAGGGAGGTGATGATAGTTTTTGCCGATATGAGCGCCATGATTGCGGTTCCTTGCGATGTCCTGTGATCATGAAGGAAAATAACTGGGAAAAGCCGGCCAGGAGAGGAGAACAGTTGATGTTAAAGTCCCGTTGGACAAGAAAAGAATGGACGGAAATCCGGTGCATGTGTTATCGGAGAGCAAACAAGGTCAGGTAAGGTACCTAAGGTAAGCTAAGTAATCATGCAGCTGCCAGGCTTATCGATCTGGAGCTTCTCATTCGTCCCATCGAGGCAGGGCGAGGCTCCAGCGCCGTTCAGCGAACTTTCAGCGAACCCGCTCCTCGCTAGCGCCGTCCCTCTTTACAACAGGTACGCTGAGCTAAACCTGCTCAGGCGGAGGGTGCAGCTCTGCTGGGGGGGGAGTGGGGTCCCTTTCTGGTTGTGTACTGGCCTGACCGGGGAGGTAAGGTGGGATGAAAGGTCCTCTAAATGGATTGGGGATTCATTCACTTAGCCAACATCCCGCATCCAACGAACCCCCACCACTCTTCCACCCGACTGCGATCTTCGAATCTTTCACGGCGAAGATGGCAGCCGACGCGGCGATGCCGCTTGAAAAGCCGCGCCACATCAAGTACTGGCAACGCTGCCACAAGACCTTCCTCCCACATCAATACACGTCGTCCGACAGCACGCGCATAGCTCTCAGCTTCTTCATCCTCGCCGCCCTCGACATACTATCCCCCTCAGAGCCGACCAAGAAAAACCCTCATCTTCTTACCCCGACTGATCGAGCCGCCGCGCGCAAGTTCGTTCTAGGCCTCTACCACCCCGGCGGCGGCTTTTGCGGCTCTCCCAACCATGCTCTGCCGAGCGACTTGTACGCCGACTGGGATTTTGAAAAGGGAAAGTCCAAGACGAGGAACGTAAGCTCGGCGAATTTGGCCTCAACGTACTTTGCGCTGCTAATCTTGGCCATTGTCGCGGACGGGGTGGAGGAAGCGAAGAACGCCTTTGCGGGCGTGGATCGCGTTGCGACGTTGCGGTGGTTGAAGCGACTGCAGCGGACTGACGGCAGCTTTGGCGAGCTTGTTCTAGATGATGGACGAATTGCAGGTGGGAGGGACATGCGGCTGTGCTTTCTTGCCGCCATGATACGGTGGGCTCTGAGGGGCGACACCAAGGAGGGCCACGTAGACTGGGTTGAGGACATTGACGTCGACGGCCTCGTTCGGCACATTCGCCAGGGACAAACCTATGACGGTGGACTCGCTGAGAGCTCTCACGATAACGAGTCTCATGGTATGCTCTTGCTGCAGAGGTGATGTTGAATATTAGAAGCTGATTTGAGGTTGAAGCTGGCTACGCGTATTGTGCTGTCAGCGCACTGGCCCTCCTCGATCGACCACCTGACCAGAGTGCAACTCTACACACCAGCCAGACCCTCAAGCAAGGCGTGCCTGATATATCATTGCTGGTAAAGTTCTTGGCTTACCGCCAGTTTGAGTACCTCGACAAGGAGGACGATTCAGACGACACTGACCACGCCAACTTTGCGCTCCCCGAGTCGTTGAGCGAGCTGACATTAGACCCGAGGCTGCGCTGCGTTGGGTTCAATGGAAGGTGTAACAAGGTTGCAGATACGTGCTATTGCTGGTGGGTGGGAGGCACACTACAGGTATGTGGACCTTGTTGTCAACTGATGACGACCATGGTTTACTGACGTCTTCAGATGCTCGGTCACGTCGACCTCATTGACGTCGAGCCGTCGCGCCGCTTCATCATCCGCAAAGCGCAACATCTCATTGGTGGGTTCTCGAAATATCCTGGGGGCCCGCCAGACATTTACCACGGCTTCCTTGGCCTAGCTGCGCTTGCCATCATGGGAGACTCAGACCTAAGGCCATTCGATGCGTCCATATGCGCAACAGATGCGACTGTGCGCAACATCATATCTGCGAGGAATGGGCTCATCGAGGCTACCAAGAAGGCCTAAACCTGATAAACGAGTTCTCCCCGAGTGACGACATTACTTGCGAGTATTTGCTTGGGGATATTGGTGACTAATAACACGAACATTGAGCGAGCACCAGCACGGTTTTGAAATCATACGATAGAAGTAGATACACTTAGCGTTGACTTGAAGTTCCTATCGAGTTGCACAAAAAGAAAAGAAAAGATCAACACCCTTTGGTTTAGTACAAGGTATCCTCTAAGTATAGTACATGTCGCCGAAAGGGAAATATACGGAAAGGAAACTACACTATGAGAGCTTTTGCATGAGCTCATTCCTTTGAGCGTGTTAGATCAAACTAGCAGTAAACGTTTTATCTTGAGAAAAGTACGTCATCAACCTCGGTGATGACGGTAGAAAGGTAGTTGGGGTTGATCATGTCAGGACAGGAGCGGCTGCGGCTTTTGGCGTTACTGGAGCAGCAGCGTCCTCCTCGTTCGACTGCTCTGCCAGGGCCTCTGTCTCGCTGTCTTCAATAATTTGCTCCTCGATGCGCTCGCCTGGCAACCCGACGACAGGGCTAAACGCGTCAACCTCCTCAATCTCTTCTTCCACTTCTTCGCCTTCTTCCTCCTCCTGTATGGTGACTTCGCCTGACCGTCGTCCGATCCCAGAAGCACTTGCACTGCGCGAATGGTTAGAACCGGTGCTTCGTGAGCTGCTACCTCCTCCTCCGCCGCCGCCGCCACCATTGCCACCTCCCCCAAAAGTCAGCATCGGGCCCTTGAAGATATTTCGCTTCCGCTTGGCAAATTGAATTCCCCCTCCCAGGGCAAAGGGATTTGGCGAGCCGGGAGCCTGCATTCCCGATGCTACGGGCGGGGGTGGCATGCCCTCATTGAATAGAGCAAGAGGAGCCGGAGGACCTGGCCCTCGAACTAAACGGATATTTGACGGGAAGGCAATCGCGGTCGGAGTGGCAGGGAGAACTTTGACTGAGTGATGAGGTGATTGCCCACGCTGGAGTGTATTTTTGGACATGGAAGTCGAGACTGAACCGTTGGAGCTTGTTGACGATGCCTTGGAATGAGAGTGGTGGTGGTGGGGCATTGAACGGATGGACGAGACTGATGATGAAGTGGACTTGCGGCCCCTCAAACCTGCCGATGAACGCCGCATTGTAGTACGCGGGGTCATGGGAGATGGCGACAATGATTGTCGCTTGTAGGATGTTGCAATTCGGGACGGTACCCGCGAGGGAGCAGAGCCCCCACCATAAGCTGAACTGCTGAAGCCGCCAGATCCTCCGTGATTTGGCAGTGCCTTGTTGGCATGGCCATTAGCCACCACACCACGAGGCAGTCCAGCCGTTCCCTGAGGTATTGCCGCATCCGTTGTTGGATACTTGCTTGTCTGCGGCCGAGGGCTTGTGTCCTTGGAGTGTTTACTGCTGCTGCCTGCAACACTGCCGTTTTTATCGACCAGGTTGGGTGTCGAGTGACTGCCTCTCTTGTTCGCGTGCCGTCCCCTGCGGGTGTTTTCGAAGAACCAATGCGTCCAATTCTTCCAGTGTGCAATGATGGCCTGTGAGGGCTTCTTGCGAACTTTGCGCTGTTGTTCAGGGGGTCGCTCTGGCGTCCCGTTAGCCGCCAAAGCTTCCGAAGTGGTCACTAGATGAAGGGTCGAACCCCGAGATCTCGCACTACGGATCACACCCTCCTTAGGGGGGGGAACCGGGCGACGGTGTCTAGACGTACTGGCAGACCGGATCGAATCCTTATCGATTGGTGGAGGTGGTTCCTCTGTATCTGGACTTCCGTTTTCCTTGCTGTGCTCCGGCAGGCCCGGCAAGTCCCCCAAGTCGGAGTAATGCGCACTTCTTCTCTCTGACCGGCCTCTTGTCCGTGGCGTCACGGGCCCGTCTTCAAGTCTGATGAAACGGTTTGTCAACCCGCCGTCTTCGTCGACCTCTTGCAACACGGGCGCAATCCGCTCAAGTCTGCTAGACGCGGCGGACAGACGACGCAAGCTCCTGTTTTCAGCCTCCCTTTCCCGACGTTTCCTCTCCCTCCTCTTGACTTTCCGCTGTTCCTTTTCGATAAGCAGCGTCCACCAGCCACCCAAAGCATCGCACCGCTGAGCAAGCACACTTTCGATGACAGAGTCAATATCGACACCCGCACCCCGCATGCGCTGAAGAGTCTCCTTCTCTAGATGTGTTGAGAAAGGTGGCGGCCTTTGTAGTTTCAGGATTGCTTGCTGTGCAGGGGCATGTTCGGCGAGGAAAGGATTGGTGAGGATGTCGGGGAGGGAGGGTCGAAGTAACGGTCGCTTGGAGAGTAGGGACTTGATTAACGGAATGGCGACAGGAGGGAGATGATCGGGGTACTTTGGTTCTTCACTAAGTATCTTCGTCCGTGTTACGTTGTCGTCGTCATCGTCGAATGGCAGCTCTCCGCATAGAAGGGCATACAGGATAACACCGAGGCTCCAGACGTCGACTTTTTCTCCGGCATATTTCTCGCCCTTGAGCATTTCGGGCGCCGAGTAGCATATTGTACCGCAGAATGTCTGCAGGTAGTTGGACTTGCCCTCGTATTCTCTGGTGAAACCAAAATCCACCAGCTTGACGTTCTCGTGTTTGTCAAAGAGTATGTTTTCCAGCTTCAAGTCGCGGTGAACACATGATTGCTGATGTACGTGTGCGACAGCGCCAACGAGTTGGGCAAATATCTTTTGGACCTTGTGGACGGGGAGGGGCCCATGTTCGAGGAGGTAGTTGTAGAGTTCATCGCCTACCAAGTCTTTGTCAACCGCGAATTCCGTGTCATCAATGCAATGGCGAGCCTACCAGAACAGTATTCCAAAACCAACCACACCAGATTCTCGGTAACTATGACCTCATACAGTCGGGCAATGTGCGGGTGAACAAATTGGCGGTGGTGGTGTATTTCGCGTGCGAGGTTCGAGTCGCCCTTGTTAGCAGATTTGAGGACGACCTGTACCCAAGCAAGTCAGTATCGCCGGTCGAGACTAAACATCATGGTCCCAGCACGTCGACCATTACCTACTTTGGAGCCATTAGTGAGCTTGTGAGAAGCCAAGTAGACCTTGCCAAAGGAACCTTTTCCGATAAGACGACCGAGAGTGTAGTTGCCGACAGAGCTGAGGTCTTTGTTGGAGAACTCGCTGAAGGCGATGGATGTTAGCTTCGGATACGCACGGGAGCGGGCGGATGGGCAGGCATAGTGGAACTTACTCAAGAAGCTCCTGATACGAGCGAGCAAGCTGTCACAGTTTCATTAGCCACCAAATTCGATCTGGTGGACCATGATCCAAGGCGATTGGGATGGTCGCGAAAGGAGCACATGGCATGACGGGTAGGGCAAGTTTGGTGACGCACCTTGGCCTTGCGACCCAGGGCCTCAGCGTTTCCTCTGTTGGCCTGCATCCCTTCGCAAGGCGATGACCAGGCACGTCAAAGCCGACCGAAGCGAAGCCAGGCAAAGCGGGCGGGCTTGAGCAAGACACACAGTAACTCGGCTTTAGGTATCGTGGGTCGGGACCGGGCAGGCGTGAGGAGGTTTAGGATCGACGTCTCGGGAGCCCACAATGGCGCGCAAAGAGTGCCAGCTGCATCTAGAACGGGTGGGATGGGAGGATCGGATCGAATTGGGGTACTATGGTTCGGCTGCGCGTGGGCGAGGTGGTGGAAAGCGTCACGGCGTTGCAATTGAAGCTGTTGGTGAGCGCAAGTTGAGGCTGGCGGCTCACTGATCATGGAAAGCAATGGATGGGGAGATTTGCTGAATTCACGACCGGCCCCTGTCTGCAAAGGTAGCGTGCTACCTGTGGTCGGGACTCAGGACTCATCAATCAGTGTTGGACTGCTGGCGAGGCAAGGCGAGAGCAAGCAAGATGGGACACGGAGCGGGCCAGGTACCTGGGGGAGGTACCCCCAATTCAGCGCAACAATTCAGGTGCGTCCCAGAGAGGAAAAGAGCAGCGGTCAAGTGGGTCACCGGCCGATGGACACACGACTAAGGTTCCTCATCTTGATTAATCGACCTTATTAGCTACGTATTTTACTTGCCTTTTCGCACGCTTGAGGTGTGGACTGGAGCTCAAGAACCTTGCCTAAGATCAGTAGGTAGACCTGGGGAAAGAACGGGCGACTTACCTAATTCACTTTTGCGGCCTGGAATTCTTCGGTTACATGTTGGCGGTGTCGCCCAGAAATGCCAGCTACCTTTCCTACCTACCTTACCTTGGACGTCCCGGATTGGACGTCTTGTTTGTTGGCCTCGACCGGGCCTCCCAGGTGACCGACTTGCAGTGCCTCGGGCCGCTTGGAACGACCTTGAGAGTAAGCTGTGCTCAATGTGTCCGTCAGTCAAGAGGAGTTGAGGAGATGCCGGCACTTGGCCGTTTGCAAACAGGAGAATAGTCACGTTAACCTGATCTTAAAACAAGTCGTTTCAGTATTCATTGCACAGATAACAAGAAAAACTTAGAAAAAGAATCTTCCACACTTGTTCTCCTTGTCGTATCAGGTACATTGTTTGCCAGCAGTAAAGATATTCTTCACTAATATGAGCCTGCGGTGGAGAGTGAGGCGTCATTATAGGAAAAGAGAGAGTGGATAGCAGCAGAGCAATTGACATATAAACTCTGGTACTGTGAATACTACAGAATTCAAGAGTTTGTCAGCATCGTCATCTCTAAGTCCACCTCACCTCGTCTGTCTGAGACGCTGGCTGAGACTGAAGAAGCTATCACCCCACCGCGGTCTCATCGGACGGGATTGAGGAACCGACCTGGCACGTGCTTGGAAAGCTTGGATCACCTCCCCGACCCCGTGGGAACATGGGGGTGGCTAAGGGGGCCTTGCTTCCAGTCCGTGCTCGTGGCTGAAGCCAATGTTTCCGACACCGCTCCGTTTGCGGTTGCACCATAGCCAAGTCTCCGGGGAACTCTTACGCCCGCCGCCGGTCATTGGCGATTTGGCGCACCATCTCACTAATTGACATTGACATCCTTTGATTGATGCTTGAGAAACATCGTCCGTCTACCTTTCCATAAGCTTGAAGCTCCGCCACCACCATCCACCATGCATGTCTCTCAATTCCTGGCCGTGAGCTTCATGCTCCCCTTTGCCGCCGCCTCGCGCTTCCAGCAACTCCTCGGCGTCGAATCTTCCCCGCCGACAATTCACGGCCCGGCCGCAGTCTCAGGCTCCTCGTCCTTATCCGCTGTCCCCGCTTGGCGCGACGACCTCATCTCTTTGCATCGCTCTCTCGTTGAGATCCCTTCCATCTCGGGCAATGAGAGTGCCGCCGGAAAATTCTTGGTCGACTATCTGACCGGCCGAGGCTATGTCTCATCTCTGCAATTCCTGCCACCGCGCATTGGCGATACCCAAGAGACCCCGCGGTTTAATGTCTTGGCCTGGAAGACGAACCAACGTCAGCCCAGCCCTCGCGTTGTTGTGACCTCGCACTACGATGTTGTGCCGCCTCATATCCCCTACAGCATATCTGATGACACAATCGCACCCGACACTCGTATTAGTGGAAGAGGAAGTGTTGACGCCAAGGCCAGTGTTGCTGCTCAGATCATTGCTCTCGAGGACCTATTCGAGGCCGGCAAAGTCAAACCCGAAGATGCCATGCTCTTGTTCGTTATTGGCGAGGAGGACACTGGCGATGGAATGCGTTTCTTCTCTGATGCGCTTCAGGAAGCTGACCCACCGGTGCAATTTGGTTCTGTCATTTTCGGAGAGCCTACGGAGAACAAGCTCGCGTGCGGTCACAAGGGTGGTGTCTTCTGCGACATCTCGGCCAAGGGTGTCGCTGGGCACTCTGGCTACCCGTGGCTCGGCAAATCGGCCAACGAGATCATGATTAAGGCCCTCGCCAGAATCATCACGACAGATCTCGGAAGCACCGAAAAATGGGGCAACACCACTGTGAACGTTGGCCAGTTCAACGGCGGCGTTGCTCAGAATGTCATTCCTGCCTCTGCTCTGGCAAGGATTGCTGTCCGAGTCGCCATTGGCCCCGAAAAGGACGGTGGCAACATTGTCAAGGAGAGAATTCAGAAGATTCTTGACGAAACTGATGCCGAGTCCCTCGAATTAACCTGCACCCACGGATACGGCGTCGTGGAGGCCAACTGTGACGTCGACGGTGAGATACCCACGCCTCAATCAAGTAGCCTGACCAGTCTGGACAATCACTGACGAGTGACTACGTAGGCTTTGAGACCATTGTGGCCAATTATGGCACTGATATTCCTAACCTCAAAGGGTCGCACACTCGCTATCTTTATGGACCAGGCACTATTCTGGTTGCGCATGGCCGCGATGAGAACATCACCGTCGCCGAACTTGAGGAATCCGTGGGAGGCTACCAGAAGCTGATCCTACATGCTCTCAAGGACTCTGCTTAATGTCACGCGACGGTCTTCCGGCAGCGCGCTGCCGTAACGCCATGTCCCTCATAGACAATGTCTAATCTTGCACATACAACGGGCTCCAGGGTATTACTTTAATGATCATTACCATCCGTACAGGAAAAGAAAGAGCATCTATCACTGGCCGACCACCTGCGCCCATCTCTCGGGCATGATGTGACGGAAATCAAAATGACCCTCAGCGTTCTTGACTACAGCACCCTTCTCCGTAACAACAGCATCGATCAGGTCATGCGGAGTAACGTCAAAGGCAGGGTTCCAGACGTTGACGCGTTGATCCGCCGTCGCCACGCGCGCTGTACGAGTGACATCGACACTCCCATCAGCCTGGACGACAGCACCGGAAATCTGCGTGAGCTCTTCTCGCTTGCGTTCCTCAATCTTGATGCCCGCGCCAGTCTGGGTCTCGAGGTCGATGCTGGTGGTGGGAGCAGCGACGACGAACTTGACGCCGTGATACTTGGCCAACACGGCGAGTTGGTAGGTTCCGATCTTGTTGGCAGTATCACCGTTGCGAACAACACGGTCAGCACCAACAATGACGGCGGCAATGTTCATCTTCTCTTTTTGCAGTTTGAAAAGCGCAGCAGCCATGGAGTCGGTAACAAGAGTGCTGGGGATGTTCTCGTAAACAAGCTCGAAAGCGGTCAGTCTGCTACCCTGGTTGTAGGGTCTTGTCTCGGTGCAGTAGGCGTGCTTAAGAAGGTTGTTGGACCAGAGTGTTCTGATAATTCCAAGTGCGGTTCCGTGACCAGATGTTGCTAGAGAGCCGGTATTGCAGTGGGTAAGGACGGATACTTTGGATTCGGGAGAGGCACCAGCCACTTCTTTCAGCCAACGGGCTCCATGGTCGCCAATAGAGAGGTTTGTCTGGAGGTCTTTTTGCAGGATCTTCTCGGCTTCCTCAATGTAGGCAGCAATGACAGTGTTGGCATCATCTTGCGGCGCGCATCTAATGCGGGTTTTTAGTTGGTTGATGGCGTTGGTCAAGTCGACAGCAGTAGGCCTGCTTTCCTTGAGGTAATCCAGACGCGAGTCAATGTAAGTGACGGTGTCTTGGGCTGAAGTAGCGCTGCAGCTGCCGTTGTGCAGCTCGACAGCATGGGCGAGGGCAGCGACGATGGCAATGGCTGGGGCACCACGAACTCTCATTGACTTGATACAGTCGAAAGCCTCCTCGCTGGTGGATACCTCATCATAGTGGAATTCGTGAGGAAGTATCAGCTGGTCCAAGACCTCGAGACGACCCCGGGTGTACTTGACAGCTTGGAGTCCAGACATGGCGTCGAAAAAGAGGAGATGCAGCGTAAAATAGGAATGCTGTTGTGGGAGAAGGGTAGTCAATACATAAAAGACTCTCTATTGTAAAAATACCTCCCGTCCACTGCATCAGCGGCAGGGGAGGGGCAATTCTGAAGCAAAACCAAAAGATTCTGCCGAACCCCTCCATTGGCGTGCAGCAAGAAGCGTCATCTTGAGCCAATCAATTCAGCAAGGAGCCGCACACCGCTCTCGGCGGATCATCGGAGGCTGAGCTACGAGTAGGGCGACAGGGGTCCCGCCGTTTCGGCTATCGCTGGCCGGCGCATTTCGCCAGTTTCCAGCCTTCCAAGTTCCAACAGACCCCCTTTCAAATTCCAGCTCGAGCTCGCTGAATCGCGCCCGGCGTCTCCACCGAAACTAGAACCTCACCGAGCGAGTTGTACACCTTGCATTCGACCGGCACCCACCCTCCGCAATTTGTCAAATGAAGCCGCGACGGACCATGTAATTTAAAACTCCAAATTGGAGGAGCCGTTCAAGATGGAGCGGCCTTTTTCAACCTCCAAAGTAACAGGTAAGCTCCGCGCGTCTCATCATCCGCTGTTGTTTTGTTGGCCTGCGAATACTCCTACCTCATTGAGTCCTCCCGAACTGACCCAGCATGCTATTTGCAGTCGAGTACTTCGATCCCCATGACGTCTACAAGCTCGTCACCCCGGGCCTCATTCCACGACTTCCTCTTCGAAATCTCCACTGGCAGTCGCATGCTGGACCTTTGCGCTCGATCGATACCCTTCATGTCGAGCTCACACCCGCCGGCGGAGAGCCGTCTGCCCCAATCTCACCAACTGTTTCCCCCCCGCTCCGCCGATCAGTCAGCGCCGGCGCCAAAGACGATGGCTTTCAGACGCAATCAATTGGAGGCAAGAGCACATCGTCAGATATTTCCGATACGCCAACTGTAGCTGCGCGGCAGCCCGGCAAGGAACGACGCCACCAAATACCGGGCCTGAGGCGGACACCCTACCTCAAAGTCCTACTCGTTCGATGCGACGACAGCGATACGTACAAGTCCCAAACAAGGGCGGAAATCAGAGAATGGATCAAGAAGAACACGCCGCCCTCGCAATCTACGCGCAAGTTAAACACACAAGAGAACCATGATGCCTTTGAGTTCCTCATTATCCACGTCGTGATACCCAATACTTTTGCTGCAAATCAGCCCAGGGTCAGCGGAAAAGGTCTCGATGCCGCAGAGAAAGCAAGGTCATCTAGATGGGGCTCCGGATCTTCGACACTACTGGAGAAGCTTCGGTCGGACTTCAACAGTTCAAGCAAGGGCGCGATGGATCGCGTGGCCCAGATTCGTATCGGCATCAACGACGTTCCATACGACGTGCTGCCTCGAGTTGTTCCTGCAACCCCAACCGGCTATACCGAGTCGCGCCAGGATGCCGAAAACGCATGGGATTACCTCATTGGAAAATTCAAGGAATTGATTTTGTCATCCTTTGACATGAGGGTATCCCAGTACGAGGAAGACATCAAGGAGAAGGACGCTCAGCGGGTTCTACCGGGATGGAATTTCTGTACCTTCTTCATACTCAAAGAGGGTTTAGCGCGTGGCTTCGAGAGCGTCGGTCTTGTGGAGGATGCTTTAGTCGGCTACGATGAGCTCAGCGTTGGCCTTGACACCGTCATTCAAGAACAGGCTACATCCGGAGATCCCCGGACGCACGGTGGCTCTTTGTTGAGCCACACAGAGGACCTCGTGAAGCGAGCTGAGGCTGCCGTTGCAGAGCTGGGTGCTGAGGACGAATCTCTGGTAGACGATCAGCTTGTTGATCTCCAGGCCACGGGTGCCCCCAAGACGGACAAGTTCGACGACATTCCCATTAGCGCCACCAAAAAGCCATACCGCGAAATGATAGTCGCCAACAACGTGTCGGTCTTTGACTTCCGCTGCTACATCTTTGCGAGACAAATATCGCTGTTGCTTCGCCTCGGCAATGCTTGGTCGACCAGGGAAGACCTCCTAGCAAAGCTTAGGGAGCAACAGGAGTCTGTTCTTCACGGTGTTGCACCGCGAGCGCCGCCTCCAAAGCAGACAGAAGAGGCCGAAAACCTGTCCATGTTGGCCGAGATCTGCCGCAGAACGCTCGAGTTTGTACCGGCTGTTTCGCAAGTCATGAGAGCCGACGTCTTGGCGGCGGTGAAGAACAAGCTTACCGAGGAAGATTCCCCAATTCTCAACCCTGTCCTGGCAGAGGCTATAGATAATCTTGTTGCATCCTTCGCGTTTTCCGTTGCGCAGCAGATTCTTGCTCAAACATCGAGCAAAGCGCTGCCCATACCACCATCCACCCTGGCTCCCTCTGACGGTCATGAGCCAAAGTCATCAATCCCGGAGCTGAAGACTATGTTACACCCTGCTCGAAACTCGTCTCTGCGCGTGGGAACAAACTCCAACACGAGTATGAGACCGCCGCTCAGTCCTGGGATATTTCCTGGAGCAACAGGTTCCAACCCTAATGACACAGTGACACCCAACGCCCAATTTCTCAAAGCTGGTTTAGAAGAATTGGCTGCGCGTCGTGCAGAGCTGTATGCTTTGTCTAGGAATGTCCTCCAAGGCAGCGGCAAGAAACGGGGCTGGGATATTGGATGGACTTCGGCGCCCGTACTGGGGGAAATGGATGGCAACGACTTTGAAGACATCGATCTCGACGGCGATGACAAAAAGTCGCAGACAGACAACCCAGAACCGTTTTGCATAGGTCTGGCTGGTATTGAGAACGGCCTTCTCCATACCGCTCTCGACAGTCGAGATGACTTTTATCGCCTGTACGAGACACTTACGGACAAGGCCTTGCGCCATTATACCGTGGCCAACCACACTCATGCAGTGAAGACTAGCATGGCTGACCTCGCTGTGCTCAAGTATCACCTGGGCGAGTATGGCCCGGCCGCTTCATACTTTTACATGACTACACCATTTTTTGGAGAAAACAGCTGGAGCCTGTTGGAACTGTCTATGCTTGTCATGTACTCTCGATGTCTCAAGGAGCTTCAGCGCAAGGATGAGTTTGTTCGTGTGGGATTGAAGCTCCTGACGAAAGCGGCAGCCGCAGAAAACGAGAGACTTGAAAAGAAGAAGCCCTCAGTTGGAGCCCATTCAGAGGTCCAGTACCCCGAGAAAAGCGCCATTGTTGGTTTCCTCGATGAAGTGTTGAGTGTAGCCAAGACCCTGTCCAACGAAGTCAGGGTTCCCCTAGGGCATCTTTTTACCCAAGTTGAAGTGGTCGGACATCCCGACTACCACACTGGAAAAGACTGTTTCTCTCTCACCATCAAGTTGAGGAGTTTGCTTATAGATGACCTGAGTTTGGAGAAGGCTGCCATTCGTTTGTCCAGGACGTCATCGGGAGGAACAAAGGAGGTTTGGCTACATACTTCTGAGGCGAACACTCTTAAGCCAGGGATCAACAAGTTGCGGCTTACCAGCACTGTGAGCATTATGCCCACGACCCAATTCGAGGAAGTCAGCTAACAGACGGCAGACAAACGTTGCCGGACATTACAGAATTGACCGGGCAGATTTAATTTGCAACAAAGTAGACCTGCACTGGGAGCGAGACGTCAACCAAACACCCAGCAGGACGGCACATATCTTCCGTCTGCCCGACTTGGAGCTCTATCGCCCAGCCGGCGGTCTGAGCTGTCGCCTGACGGCAGCAAGAGACATACAGTTGGACAAAAATAACTCACTTGACCTGGAGCTCCTAACGGGGTGGAACTCTATCAAATCCTGTGAACTTTCGGTAAAACCGTCCACCGGCGGTCTTCGAATCATCTCGACCGAAGCAACGTTCCTTGGGCCTACATTTGAATACGAAAAGCCTATGGAAGCCGGACTCTTTCGCTTTGAAACTGTCTCCGCGTCGTCCGCCATCAAAATGCGTTTCCCGTACACCATCGAGCAAGATGTTTCAAGTATTTCGGCAAGAGTCGAACTGACTTATACCACAAATGCGGGCACCTACTCATACTCTAACGTATTTTCAGTCCCTGTGGCGCTCGCCTTGGGTGTCAACGTTCAGGACGTCTTCAAACACAATGCCTTGTTCTCCCGCTTCAGCGTTTCGACAGCCTCGCTGAGCCCGCTGAGAGTGTTTGAGACGCAACTCATTGACTCAGATGTTTTTGCTGCGCACTCTGCAGCCCCACCAAACAAATCCGTCATGGTGTTCCCAAAGCAGCCTGCCAGTTTGCTTTATAAAATTACGCGCAAAGCTTCAGGCAATACCACACCCAAGACTCAGCGGATCCTGTATCTCAAGCTCCATTATAGCGTTGTATTGGATGAGATTATTGCCCTCATCGAAAACTCCCTGTCAAAGTTTATTCAGAAATCCCCGCTGTCCTCATTCTCCGGCCTGTTAATCAACCGAGTTCTTGCAGAGGTGCGGTCTTGCTTTTCGGCTTACGACTTGGAACGAGCTGCCCTTCTCGGCGAGGTCTCGACGGCCTTCGTATCGCCTTTGCTGACAGATAAGATCTTCAGAGGCTTAGGGATAGTCCCTGGCGATGATAGAGATGCTTCTACAGCGCTACAAGCATTCCTCCTGGCCTGGCAGTCAACACATCCAAAGTTGGCCATCAAGGAAATCCAGTCGACCAGTCGATCGATCCTCATTCCTGTTGATGTTCCCTCCATCCCCGTTTTCCACTCGATTGACATTCAGCTTCCACTGCCCGACGAGCAGATTGCAGGTTCAACATTGGCTGTCAACCAGCTCCTATCTGCCAATTTACGTTTACGGTGGACCCGCATATGGGACACGGCTATCAGTGATGGCAAAGGCATCAATAGGGACTACGAGTTCAGCTTCGATGTGACCGGCCCAGGCGACATGTGGCTCATCGGGGGCCGTAAGCGCGGCAACTTCAAGAGCCTGGGAGTAAACAAGTCAGATGCCAAGTTTGGAGAATCCGAGTTGCACGTTCCCGTTCTCATCGTTCCGCTGCGCGAAGGGCGACTGCCCTACCCCAACGTTGAAATTCGCGAGGTTAAGAAGGAGGAGAGCGACGAAACAGCCGGACATCATGAGATCGATTACCAAAACATTGGAGAAACAGTGCGTGTCGTTGCAGACTTGCAACGGGTCACGTTAAGTCTGGATGCTAGTGGTCCCAGTGGTGGTCCACTGATCCTCGAGAGCGAACGACGCGAGTTCCAGCATCGTATTTTGTTGTGACAACACCACTGAAGTGTCTTGCTTCAGTCACCTAGTCTGCTATAGATAATGAAAAACACAATGCCAAAAAAGCGATGAAGCCATTCGCATTGGATCTCCTTAATGGCTCGGATAGTGCGACTGGCTGGACCGGCAAGCGCATTGCCTCTATTTTCGGGGTTGTCGTTACCCTAAATGAGCTGGCGACAGCTTCACGTTGCCCGACAAATCTATGTAGTTGTTACACATTTCGTTCTGAGGTTCGGACTCGAACCCAACCAATAAGTATTGGCCAGCGACCAACACATCCACCTTTGAGTCCAAGATAGGAAGGTGGCTGAGCTGTGCCCCCTCCTCGTAACCGCGTTGTTGCCCGCTGCGCCGCAGTAATACAATGGGACAACATCTTCATCAGAAGGTAAGTAAGGTAATCAGCTCTATCAAGTCTGGTATGAATGCACCTGGGCAACTACAATGGATGGTATGTGTAAACGCAAGCATACCGCGCCTCCAGAGAGTATACTACTTTGGTGTTTCTCTTCAATCAATCAGATCAATAACTACCAAGCTCCAATTTTCACGCCTTTGGCCAGTTCATCGCCGAAAGCTCGACTATTCTCTGCTTAGAACCTAGTCACAATTGCAACATTCTCCCTCTTACCCACAACCTTACGGTTCTGCTCGTCAATCCATCACTTCAACAAGCAGAAAGCTCTCGTCACACTCCTTAGAGAGAAAGCGTGATGTCTGGTCAACTCAGCAATGCCGACAGTCATAAACCGCTCATAGGGCTTGAAACTGAAGAGTCCAAGTCGGCAACTGCGCCCAAGAAGAAGTCACTCTATCAACGTACGCAAGACAGAAACTGGGCTGAAATTTCAGAGGAAGAGTTCCAAAAGTACACAGGAATGAATAAGGCTGATGTGCTGGGTTGAGCCAAGGAAAGCCCTCTTGTGGGAGCAAAAACACCCGCCAACGCGAAGAGAAAATATGAATCTTGGGAGTCCATGCGTGTCACTACAAGAATCATGTCATTTGAGTTTAACGCATTAAAATGAGGATAGATTTGCTAGGGCGCACATCGGGGGAATTGCCAATCTAGGTAGACAGAATATGAAAATTGTGTTCAGTACTTTAGATGATAGACATTATTCTTATGATTTCCTATGTTGCAAGATCCGGCACAAAGAATTCCTCATGCCCCGATTGGAGCAGTCGAATGCCATTTATATCACCCTCAAAGAAGCGTACGCTTCCCAGCTTGATGAATATAGTTCAAAGTTCAATAAGTAGAGAGACCTGCCCAGCAACTCTTGAAGCATGAGTTGAAGAGCCTATTTCATGAGCTCTAAACTAGTTGCACTTGTCTGAAAACTAAGCCATTACAAGTTTGGACTCAGGCGAAGCTATCTTAGACCGCATTCAGGAGATATTAGTTAGAGAAATATCGGTATAGATACTACCGTATTTTCCCTACGTTGAGAATGTGAGAAGCACGGGTCCACCTCCATTCTCCATGTTGTCTTGCTCGGAAGACCCGAAGAGCGGAACAGCCAGTGGATTCTATGGCACCCCACTTCCCGAGTCTGGATCCCATACTATGTCGGCAGCAGATGATTGGCGCGAGCCGGGAAACTCAACCATTCAGGATCTAGACTGAGTGCTTGTATGTATCGCAACATGAGCCAGCTAAGCAGACATCGCCGAGCGTTTCGACTTTGACGAGTGCGATTACCTTACACAGAATTTATCAAGAGGAAACCTTTTTGGAATACCCTACCATCAGCGTACAATATGGTGGCCGCATACCAGAGTCTCGCGGGTAAAGTTGCCATGTCCTTTGGTAGTTGCAGTAGCATTCTGTCAAGAAATAGAGACTAGTATCATCACGAAGACGTCTGCCACGTGCTTACTCACGTGGCCCTCACTATTACGCAGTATATACATGTAAACTTGACCTTTTCCTCTGTTCACTTCGGGTTATTGCAAGCCACTTTCTGCCCAATGAGTAAACCCATTGCTGTGTGGTCTAACTCGTGACTCAATAGCAAGGGAGCTGAACGGTCTAGGAGCCCACGCCGTAATCAACTAGCCATTGGCCTCCATGACTAATTAAGCGGCCTAAGCAGTAGCTGCTCTTCCCACTAGCGGCATTGCCATCGAGACCGACATTAGCATAGTGGACGGACTGGGGAATTTAGTTTAGGGTTTTATCACGTTTACGGTCATATCGACATTCACTTCAACGACACCGCGGTTGCCATTAACTTGCCATTCGAACAACAAACGCTCGATCGTTGGGATTATCTGCTGAAACTCAACGGCCGTGGGGCATTTATTTTCACAGAAAAAATATGTCATACCTCATACGTGGAAGTGAGCGCGTTGTTGACATTTGTTCCATCAGGTCTCGTGCTGTTCCTCCGCTGCAAACCATTCTTCCAGAAACTAAGGGCATGGTCTGCTAATTCACACGGGTCTGGGTGAAGGAACGCCCGCTCAAGTATGGCTGTGCCGTCAACGCTGTGTCTTCTGGCCCTACTGCGACGCATGGAGTTTTGAGCGCTAGATGAAGCGGTGGAAGTTCTAAAACCTATCATCGAGGCAACACCGGCAGTGAAAAGGCTGGGCCAACCAGCAGAGATAGCGGAAGCAGTAGCGTTTCTATGTAGGGAAAAATTCCGATGCTTCAACAGAGAACACATAGGGTTTGCGGAGGGCTATACTTAAACTGAAACTCATCGCGACGTTAGTAATAAGTTAGAAACGTCTGAAGTAGCACGGATTACTTAAATAAACGTTGGACCCCTTGTTTTGTAAAGTAGCGAACACTGAGTAAAGGAGTGTTCTCCTTAATATAGACGGGCACTAATTAGTTATTAAGTGCCTACTAATCACACAAAATGTCGGATTGGAAGCCCAAGTCGACCTCGAGTCAGCGCCAGCGCAGGGGCCATTTGAGGGTCTTTATATTAGCGTTTAACCGGCGATCTAATTAACAATTAAAACCTCTTTTTTCCATTTTATATAGAGATTAATATAAAAGTAATTAACCCTTTGTTACTACGGGTTGATTAAATAAATTACCCTATATTTATATAAATTAATATTAATTAATAATTTAATTATTATCGTAGTTAATAAAGCTATTATAAAATAAAAAAGGCGACTTTTTAATACTATATAAAAAAAAAAATCGCGCTATTTTAAGTTTTTATAAAAATTAAAAGAAACGACTTTTTAACGCCGTATAAAATAAAAAATTTCCGATTTTCTAAACTTTTATTAAAAAAGAGACGTTTATTATATTAATAACGCTTTTAAATAGTCTATTAATAAAACCGTTTAAGTTAATTATTAATTATCAAAAGAATCCTTTTTTTTATACTTTTTTTTAATTTTAAAAGACTTTTTTTTTATTTTTTTTATTTACTTTTCGTAATCAATACGTAAATCTATTTATTTTATATTTATATTAACGTACATATATAGCGAGTCGCCTATTATAGCGAATCGCTTACTTTCTTTTCCTTTTATACCTTTTATTTTAATAGCTATTTTTCTTTATATACGATTATAAATTTTTTTTTAAATAAAAGTCGTATTATCTTTATATTTTAAATTATTAAAAAAAACCTAAATTTATTTATATAAAAAGTAGCTTTTATTTATAATATTTTAAAAATAATACTTCGTAATTAACGTACTAACTTATTATTTTAATATAAAATTCATATAAATTTAAAAAAAATAACTTTTTTAAAAGAAACCGTGATTTTCGAACGAGTTATTAATTTAATTAATTAAAGATTTCTATCGCAACTTAACGACGTATAAAATATAATTAATTACTTTTTTAATAAACGCGACGCGATACGTATTAAACCGTAATAAATAAAAAAACTTTATACGACGTTAATTATAATTAAAAACGCGTTTTTAATATAAAATCGACTATTAAAAAATATTAATTAAAGATTTTATAATTATCTAAACCTAGTTTACTTTTATATAAAATATAATTACGAAATACGGAATATATAATTATAATATTTATAATTTTAATAAAACGGGCTTTTTAATAAAAATATTTTTATATATAAAGGTTATTATAATTTTTAATTATTATAGAAAGCCTTATATAAAGTAGCTTAGTAATTAAAAATAGGTTTTTATTATTTAAAGTATATATATAAATAGCTAGGCGCTGCTTTTATACGTTATTATAAAAAGTAAATATTACCTCCTCTCGTAATATATTAATAATTAATTCCCCCCCGAATAGCGTATTTACCTTAATAAAAATAAATAGATTATAAATAAGATCGGCCTAGATTAGCTAAAGTATTTTAAAAAATATATAAAGTTTTATATAAAGGGTATTAAGCGGCTTTTAATCTTTAATAATTATAATAATTATAAATCGATTAAATTCGATAATTATTATAAAAAGTATAGTATTATCGTTTTTTATATACTTTTTTATTTATCGTACGAGCTTTAGCTTTTTAATATTAGTTATTTTAGCTTATTAAAAGCTTTATATAATAAAAAAATCAAAAAGATAATACGGATATAAATTACGTATATTATTAAAAACGACTTTTTTTTTATTTTTAAAATAGTTTTTTTTATTTTAATAAGTAAAAAAAACGTACGAGTTGGTTTTAAATAAGTTAAAATTATACTTTTTAATTTAAAAATAGTTATTTTTTATTTAGATTTTAAATTAAAAACGCTAATATTATTTAATTTATGTTTAAATAATTAAGGCTTTTAAGATTTAAAAATATTAATTATAATATATAACGCTATATAAAGCTTTATTTTATTTAAAAAACGGATTTATAATTATTAATATAGCTTATTAATATATTTATATAAAGTTATTAACTTATAAGCTAAAAGTATCAATAAGTTAGTATATAAATTAGCTTTTATTAAAACTAAATACCGCGGGCTTTATACGATAAATAAAATATTAAATAAGCGCTAAAAGGCTAAAAAAATATAACTACGTCTTAAAAGCTTATTTAATACTATTAAAGCCGAGGTAATTTAAATAGAGAAAGGGGTTATTAATATTAAAAACGAAAATATATATTAAAAAAGTGTTTATATAAAAGGGGTTAAATTGCGTAGGCGGTAATATAGTAATTATAGAAAAATTAAATATAATATATAAATATATTAAATAGTTTAGGAGACTTTTAAAAAAGAGGCTAATAAGTAGTTTTAATTAATTTTATATAATATAGCTTAATTAATTTATATAAATAATAAAAAGGTATTTAGAAGTAGGCGACTTGTTATAATAGGCGACTCGCTATGTATATACGTTAATTATAATTAAATTATATAATATTTACGTTTATTTTATAATTTATAAAATATAAATATAAAAAAATCTTATACGGTAGCTTTGAGAGGTGGAAGATAAATATATTCTTATAAAGAGATAAGAATATATAATATTTATATAGAAGTAAGAATATATAAATTAAAGGGTAGTAATACGTAAATAACTGAAGTTTTTAGGAGTAAAAGGAGTAATATAGTTAAATTACTATATAAAGAGTTACTTACTTAAAAAAAGGTCTAAGTAGGTAAAACTACGCCTTTATATAGACATAAAAACCTCCTACTAGAATATTTTATAGCTTATTAATAAAGATTGAATTAATAAGCGTATTTGTAAGTGATTACGTAATCGTAGTGCGTAATCCTATAGAAAGAAAGCTCCCGAACGTTCTAATAATTTCTAATACGTTTGATCATTTATATAAGCTTATGTAAGCAGTTTTGCTTACATAATTAATATCTATATTAATCTATATTTTTTATAGATTAATATAATATATAGTTTACTGACATAATATTATTAAATAAGGCAAATAAGAAAGTAAATATATTTACCATTTTAATAAAAAAAAAT